AAAGGAGATGACAAACAACATACATACACCGTCATGTAACGACTGCTTGCATGTTGTTAAAGGAGATGACAAACAACATACATACACCGTCATGTAACGACTGTTTGCATGTTGATAAAGGAGATGACAAACAACATACATACACTTGCATGTAACGACTGTTTGCATGTTGATAAAGGAGATGACAAACAACATACATACACCGTCATGTAACGACTGTTTGCATGTTGATAAGGGAGATGACAAACAACATACATACACTGTCACGTAACGACTGTTTGCATGTTGATAAGGGAGATGACAAACAACATACATACACTGTCACGTAACGACTGTTTGCATGTTGATAAGGGAGATGACAAACAACATACATACACTGTCATGTAACGACTGTTTGCATGTTGATAAGGAAGATGACAAACAACATACATACACTGTCATGTAACGACGGTTTGCATGTTGATAAGGAAGATGACAAACAACATACATACACTGTCATCTAACGACTGTTTGCATGTTGATAAGGTAGATGACAAACAACATACATACACTGTCATGTAACGACTGTTTGCATGTTGATAAGGGAGATAACAAACAACATACATACACTGTCATGTAACGACTGTTTGCATGTTGATAAGGGAGATGACAAACAACATACATACACTGTCATGTAACGACTGTTTGCATGTTGATAAAGGAGATGATAAAAAAAAACATACATACACTGTCATGTAACGACTGTTTGCATGTTGATAAAGGAGATGATAAAAAAAACATACATACACTGTCAGGTAACGACTGTTTGCATGTTGATAAGGGAGCTTTAGCATGGTAGAGATGTTGGGAAAGATGACAAACAACATACATACACTGTCATGTAACGACTGTTTGCATGTTGATAAGGGAGATGACAAACAACATACATACACCGTCATGTAACGGCTGTTTGCATGTTGATAAGGGAGGATGGAAGAGATGTTGGGAGAGATCACGTGTTATATAACTTTGACTTAGATATATTCTTTTTTTGATATCTCACTTAACCCTCTAGCTACTGTCGGGGCATTGACTAAATGAGTTAAACCTGTCACAGACAGTCTATGCAGTGTCTGACGTTTCATCCTGCGCAGCGTCAAATTTAGTTTGTAGCCTCATAGTTATGGACTATATTCAGCGTTGAGGTGTGGGGATAGAGAAGATAATGGATAATCAAAACATCTGTGTGTATGTCTTTGTTAGATAAAGAATAGCATGGAGCCATACAAGTAAACACGAGTTGGGTAGATACGCTGGACATGGGCCAACTGGTCTTGTTCCATTGTCTACCTGACTACACTCGACATAATTACATGTTAGGTGCTCTTAGTCCTTGTGGCTTTCTAGGGCGTCCTCTGTTGAGCGGTAATTCATCGGGTATTCATTAGTGATAGCACTGTCATGTTGGGTAGCCATAACTTGTGTGCTTTGTGGGTATGCCGGCTTTCTGTTATATTATATACTTGTGGATAGCCACAGTTTTTGTGCTTGTGGTAAGCCATAGTTTTTGTGCTTGTGGGTAGCCATAGTTTTTGTGCTTGTGGGTAGCCATAGTTTTTGTGCTTGTGGGTAGCCATAGTTTTTGTGCTTGTGGGTAGCCATAGTTTTTGTGCTTGTGGGTAGCCATAGTTTTTGTGCTTGTGGGTAGCCATAGTTTTTGTGCTTGTGGGTAGCCATAGTTTTTGTGCTTGTGGGTAGCCATAGTTTTTGTGCTTGTGGGTAGCCATAGTTTTTGTGCTTGTGGGTAGCCATAGTTTTTGTGCTTGTGGGTAGCCATAGTTTTTGTGCTTGTGGATAGCCATAGTTTTTGTGCTTGTGGGTAGCCATAGTGTTTGTTCTTGTGGGTAGCCATAGTTTTTGTGCTTGTGGGTAGCCATAGTTTTTGTGCTTGTGGGTAGCCATAGTTTTTGTGCTTGTGGGTAGCCATATTTTTTGTGCTTGTGGGTAGCCATAGTTTTTGTGCTTGTGGGTAGCCATAGTTTTTGTGCTTGTGGGTAGCCATATTTTTTGTGCTTGTGGGTAGCCATAGTTTTTGTGCTTGTGGGTAGCCATATTTTTTGTGCTTGTGGGTAGCCATAGTTTTTGTGCTTGTGGGTAGCCATAGTTTTTGTGCTAATGGGTAGGATAAAGCCAAACCCAAACTGTGAGTGACTACCTTTAGCCCTTTTTGTTGGTTATATCAATAGTTGTTTTTTGATGTTTACACAATGCATCTCCTATTATGTGGAGGCAAATATTGGATTAGTTACGTGCCCCGTTAAATCACCCAACGCATCCCTGCCCCACTAAGCTGTTGTTTATATCTGTCCAGCTTATCCCTGCCCCACTAAGCTGTTGTTTATATCTGTCCAGCTTATCCCTGCCCCACTAAGCTGTTGTTTATATCTGTCCAGCTAATCCCTGCCCCACTAAGCTGTTGTTTATATCTGTCCAGCTAATCCCTGCCCCACTAAGCTGTTGTTAGGTATCTGTCCAGCTTATCCCTGCCCCACTAAGCTGTTGTTTATATCTGTCCAGCTTATCCCTGCCCCACTAAGCTGTTGTTATGTATCTGTCCAGCTAATCCCTGCCCCACTAAGCTGTTGTTAGGTATCTGTCCAGCTTATCCCTGCCCCACTAAGCTGTTGTTTATATCTGTCCAGCTTATCCCTGCCCCACTAAGCTGTTGTTATGTATCTGTCCAGCTTATCCCTGCCCTACTAAGCTGTTTCTAGGTATCTGTCCAGCTTATCCCTGCCCCACTAAGCTGTTGCTAGGTATCTGTCCAGCTTATCCCTGCCCTACTAAGCTGTTGCTAGGTATCTGTCCAGCTTATCCCTGCCCCACTAAGCTGTTGTTTATATCTGTCCAGCTAATCCCTGCCCCACTAAGCTGTTGTTTATATCTGTCCAGCTAATCCCTGCCCCACTAAGCTGTTGTTATGTATCTGTCCAGCTTATCCCTGCCCTACTAAGCTGTTGCTAGGTATCTGTCCAGCTTATCCCTGCCCACTGTGTCCAGCTAATCTGTTAATCCGTGCCCTAACCCCTGCCATGCTAATGTGCCCATTGTAAACCAACACCGTCCATCTTCAATTCAAGATTTTGGTCTAGTTGCCTGCCTACGATTGCTTCATTAATAAATATATTTAAGTGAATACTAGTAAAACACTTAGTAGTTAATTCCTGTAATTTTATCTCTTTATCTAAAGTCAGATGAAGCTGTCCGCATGATGGTTCGTTGTCTAGGCGTGTTTGTAGTTTAGTTTATGTCAAGTGTACGCTTATCCCTTGTTATATAAAGCTTCACTATAAATGACTGTAATTGGCCCTAAACTATATTCTATGATGAGCTCTTGTTGTCAGCTTGTCGTACCTAAACACGTTTACACCACACGACCGTGTAACTGGAGATTGATGGAGCAATTTCTTGTCTCAGTCTGGCTAGTCTTCACTCATCTACTGCATGTCACATTTTCTAGAAGTGGGTCAGGGGTGAGTGGGGTGTATTTTAGGTCTATGTCGGGGGTGAGCGGGGTGTATTTTAGGTCTATGTCAGATCTGCGTTGAGTGTATTTTAGGTCTATGTCAGATATGCGTTGAGTGTATTTTAGGGCTATGTCAGATCTGCGTTGAGTGTATTTTAGGTCTATGTCAGATGTGCGTTCGGTGTATTTCCGGGCTGTGTTAGGGGTGTTTACAGTTAAGCTGTGTTGGAATGCCCATATTGTTTGTCTCTGCATCGTACGTATTTCTAAAAACAACCTCAGCTGCTTGCCTCTAGCCCAGTAATGGTGTGTCTAAATCCCTTACTGTACCGCAACACCCCTCAAGCTCTTTGGCCTTTTTTAAATTTCAAATTTCTGTTTGATAGCAGATTATTTGGCCGTTAACGTTAAGAATGCACCTAGCTGATTAAAACGCGCGGTTAGTAAATTCACTTTCAAATGTTTGTAGCTTTCGTTACCGCCTGGATGGGCATAATCAAAAGATATTTTGGTTTCTGTTGTTTTAATTTGGGCCACAGCCAACAATCAGGCATACCGTGCAATATTGAAGGAAAACTTTGAGCAGTCTACGAATGTCATTTAGTAATTGCTTTATGTCAGACCAAATTATTTTTGTTTAGTTACTGATGTAGCTGGTGATTAAAGGCTACGGTACAATGTAAAGGTTTACTATTTAGTTCTAGAGGTGATGATGAATAATTGGTGTTAAAGTACAGAAAGCATGTGCATATATACATAACTTTTGTTGTAGTTGGTATTAGAAAATCACAGTCCAAAAACACAAAGATACTGCAACAATGTCAGGAAATAGAAACTCCTTACATTAACTTTTAAGTCCATCATTTTTTATCTACTTGCTAACGAACTACTAGGATGTTAATTTGTTTTATAAGATTGATATGGAAACCTGTTTGCACTTTGTTACCACTAGATGTAATGACATTACCACTAGATGTAATGACATTAACCAAACAGATAATTTAGCTGAGACACTAGATAACGATGTACATCCTCTATTTACACTTTGTTACCACTAGATGTAATGACATTACCACTAGATGTAATGACATTACCACTAGATGTAATGACATTACCACTAGATGTAATGACATTAACCAAGCAGATAATTTAGCGGAAACTCTAGATAACGATGTACACAGTACATCCTCTATTTACACTTTGTTACCACTAGATGTAATGACATTACCACTAGATGTAATGACATTACCACTAGATGTAATGACATTACCACTAGATGTAATGACATTAACCAAACAGATAATTTAGCGGAGACACTAGATAACGATGTACATCCTCTATTTACACTTTGTTACCACTAGATGTAATGACATTACCACTAGATGTAATGACATTACCACTAGATGTAATGACATTACCACTAGATGTAATGACATTAACCAAGCAGATAATTTAGCGGAGACACTAGATAACGATGTACATCCTCTATTTACAGATGCTGAGTTTCCGGGAATACATCATTAACCACTACAACCTATTTTGGGACAAGACATAGCTTAAACGCTCCCATCTGTCTGTGATTGAACATCCATTACAGCCAACACCATGCCGATGTCATCTAAACAGTTTCCCAACTTTAATCCTTCATTCTAATTTCTTGTAAGTACATATTTACTCACTCATCATCTGCGATTCATCTTTGTAATATCTGTACAGCTTAGCTGGAGTTGAGGTACACTTGACCTACTCCTGTATTCACTCACTCATCATCTTCGATCCATCTTTGTAATATGTGTACAGCTTAGCTGGAGTTGAGGTACACTTGACCTACTCCTGTATTCACTCACTCATCATCTTCGATCCATCTTTGTAATATCTGTACAGCTTACTCCTGCCTGGGCAATGGCGTAACTAGGTGTCACCCTCCGCCAACGAGTACATATTTTATTAAATGCCATACTAAAACATGTAGTCAACCCCATTCTGTATGGTGACATTCGGTGCCGAAAAATACCTTAATAAAGCTAGAAAAATAATAAGCAGATTTTCTCATTAAAATTAGCCATGTTTCGTCGATGTGTCACCCCCTTGGATGGTTTCACCCACTGCGCCCCCCCCCCCCCCCACTGTGGCTCTATTGATGCCTGGTTTAGGAGCTTATGACTGTCTTTGTTTTAATCAGTCTCTTAAAAGCTCCCCACCCCCACTGTGTTAATTTTATTCTTCAACCACTTCCGATCAAGACCTTCAGTATTATAGGGCAGGTGGTCATTATTTCCGTCATATCCACACCACGACAAATGAATTATACACTCTAATAATTCCGCCGTTAACACTTTATAATACAGTTAAGGCCATAAAGGCTGAAAATGTTTTTATTTCCTGAACTAGCGGTCACAGCTAATTGGTTAAGAAAGTCGTCGTATTGGGCGCATGTGAGTGTCAACACAGTTACGTCATAAACGACTCTTCAAAACAGCCGCGATTAAAAATAGCCCCCCCCCCTAAAAACAGCCGCGATAAAAATAGCATCCCTTAAAACAGCCCCGATGAAAATAGCCACTTTCAAAACAGTCTCGATAAAAATAACCACCCTCAAAACAGCCCCGATGAAAATAGCCTCCCGCAAAACAGCCCCGATGAAAAACGCCCCACAAACAAAGGGCTCTGACAAACAGGTCAACGACTTCTGGACTGAAGTGACCTCCGACAGTATGGCACATACTTCTGTCTATATCTTGTTGGGTGCCATATTGACGACAGGATTCGTTAGCCTGGACCTGTTTTGGTGGGAGCCGAATCGACGAAATCGTGTCGCCACAGTCTGTGGTTACCGCGTCATGACGTAACACAGCTACAACTGAAGGTATAAATTGTGAGGAGTGTAAATAGTGCCATGCCTCACCATAGGTCCGCTGTATTCAACTTGTATACACTACATCCATACTTGGGCCGCCCGTCTCATCAGATCCATCCTAAGACCGATGTGTCTTGTATACAGCCATACTTGGCCGTCTCATCAGATCCAACCTAAGACCGATGTGTCTTGTATACAGCCATACTTGGCCGTCTCATCAGATCCAGCCTAAGACCGATGTGTCTTGTATACATCCATACTTGGCCGTCTAATCAGATCCAGCCTAAGACCGATGTGTCTTGTATACAGCCATACTTGGCCGTCTCATCAGATCCAGCCTTAGACCGATGTGTCTTGTATACAGCCATACTTGGCCGTCTAATCATATCCAACCTAAGACCGATGGGTCTTGTATACAGCCATACTTGGCCGTCTCATCAGATCCAACCTAAGACCGATGTGTCTTGTATACAGCCATACTTGGCCGCCCGTCTCATCAGATCCAACCTAAGACCGATGTGTCTTGTAAACAGCCATACTTGGCCGTCTCATCAGATCCAGCCTAAGACCGATGTGTCTTGTATACAGCCATACTTGGCCGTCTCATCAGATCCAGCCTAAGACCGATGTGTCTTGTATACAGCCATACTTGGCCGTCTCATCAGATCCAACCTAAGACCGATGTGTCTTGTATACAGCCATACTTGGCCGCCCGTCTCATCAGATCCAACCTAAGACCGATGTGTCTTGTATACAGCCATACTTGGCCGTCTCATCAGATCCAACCTAAGACCGATGTGTCTTGTATACAGCCATACTTGGCCGCCCGTCTCATCAGATCCAACCTTAGACCGATGTGTCTTGTATACAGCCATACTTGGCCGTCTAATCAGATCCAACCTTAGACCGATGTGTCTTGTATACAGCCATACTTGGCCGTCTAATCAGATCCAACCTAAGACCGATGTGCCTTGTATACAGCCATACTTGGCCGTCTAATCAGATCCAACCTAAGACCGATGTGTCTTGTATACAGCCATACTTGGCCGCCCGTCTCATCAGATCCAACCTAAGACCGATGTGTCTTGTAAACAGCCATACTTGGCCGTCTCATCAGATCCAGCCTAAGACCGATGTGTCTTGTAAACAGCCATACTTGGCCGCCCGTCTCATCAGATCCAGCCTAAGACCGATGTGTCTTGTATACAGCCATACTTGGCCGTCTAATCAGATCCAACCTTAGACCGATGTGTCTTGTATACAGCCATACTTGGCCGCCCGTCTCATCAGATCCAAACTAGGACCGATGTGTCTTGTATACAGCCATACTTGGCCGTCTCATCAGATCCAGCCTAAGACCGATGTGTCTTGTATACAGCCATACTTGGCCGTCAAATCAGATCCAACCTTAGACCGATGTGTCTTGTATACAGCCATACTTGGCCGCCCGTCTCATCGGATCCAACCTAAGACCGATGTGTCTTGTATACAGCCATACTTGGCCGTCTCATCAGATCCAACCTAAGACCGATGTGTCTTGCATACAGCCATACTTGGCCGTCTAATCAGATCCAATCTTAGACCGATGTGTCTTGTATACAGCCATACTTGGCCGTCTCATCAGATCCAGCCTAAGACCGATGTGTCTTGTATACAGCCATACTTGGCCGTCTAATCAGATCCAACCTAAGACCGATGTCTTGTATACAGCCATACTTGGCCGTCTCATCAGATCCAGCCTAAGACCGATGTGTCTTGTATACAGCCATACTTGGCCGTCTCATCAGATCCAGCCTAAGACCGATGTGTCTTGTATACAGCCATACTTGGCCGCCCGTCTCATCAGATCCAACCTAAGACCGATGTGTCTTGTAAACAGCCATACTTGGCCGTCTCATCAGATCCAGCCTAAGACCGATGTGTCTTGTAAACAGCCATACTTGGCCGCCCGTCTCATCAGATCCAGCCTAAGACCGATGTGTCTTGTATACAGCCATACTTGGCCGTCTAATCAGATCCAACCTAAGACCGATGTGTCTTGTATACAGCCATACTTGGCCGTCTCATCAGATCCAACCTTAGACCGATGTGTCTTGTATACAGCCATACTTGGCCGTCTCATCAGATCCAGCCTAAGACCGATGTGTCTTGTATACAGCCATACTTGGCCGTCTAATCAGATACTACCTAAGACCGATGTCTTGTATACAACCATACTTGGCCGTCTCATCAGATCCAGCCTAAGACCGATGTGTCTTGTATACAGCCATACTTGGCCGTCTAATCAGATCCAACCTAAGACCGATGTCTTGTATACAGCCATACTTGGCCGCCCGTCTCATCAGATCCAACCTAAGACCGATGTGTCTTGTATACAGCCATACTTGGCCGCCCGTCTCATCAGATCCAGCCTAAGACCGATGTGTCTTGTATACAGCCATACTTGGCCGTCTCATCAGATCCAGCCTAAGACCGATGTGTCTTGTATGCAGCCATACTTGGCCGTCTAATCAGATCCAACCTAAGACCGATGTCTTGTATACAGCCATACTTGGCCGTCTCATCAGATCCAGCCTAAGACCGATGTGTCTTGTATACAGCCATACTTGGCCGTCTCATCAGATCCAGCCTAAGACCGATGTGTCTTGTATACAGCCATACTTGGCCGCCCGTCTCATCAGATCCAACCTAGGACCGATGTGTCTTGTATACAGCCATACTTGGCCGTCTAATCAGATCCAATCTTAGACCGATGTGTCTTGTATACAGCCATACTTGGCCGCCCGCCTCATCAGATCCAGCCTAAGACCGATGTGTCTTGTATACAGCCATACTTGGCCGTCTAATCAGATCCAACCTAAGACCGATGTGTCTTGTATACAGCCATACTTGGCCGTCTCATCAGATCCAGCCTAAGACCGATGTGTCTTGTATACAGCCATACTTGGCCGTCTAATCATATCCAACCTAAGACCGATGTGTCTTGTATACAGCCATACTTGGCCGTCTCATCAGATCCAACCTTAGACCGATGTGTCTTGTATACAGCCATACTTGGCCGTCTCATCAGATCCAGCCTAAGACCGATGTGTCTTGTATACAGCCATACTTGGCCGTCTCATCAGATCCAACCTAAGACCGATGTGTCTTGTATACAGCCATACTTGGCCGTCTCATCAGATCCAGCCTAAGACCGATGTGTCTTGTATACAGCCATACTTGGCCGCCCGTCTCATCAGATCCAACCTAAGACCGATGTCTTGTATACAACCATACTTGGCCGTCTCATCAGATCCAGCCTAAGACCGATGTGTCTTGTATACAGCCATACTTGGCCGTCTAATCAGATCCAACCTAAGACCGATGTCTTGTATACAGCCATACTTGGCCGTCTCATCAGATCCAACCTAAGACCGATGTCTTGTATACAGCCATACTTGGCCGCCCGTCTCATCAGATCTATCCTAAGACCGATGTGTCTTGTATGCAGCCATACTTGGCCGTCTAATCAGATCCAACCTAAGACCGATGTCTTGTATACAGCCATACTTGGCCGCCCGTCTCATCAGATCTATCCTAAGACCGATGTGTCTTGTATACAGCCGTACTTGGCCGTCTCATCAGATCCAGCCTAAGACCGATGTGTCTTGTATACAGCCATACTTGGCCGTCTAATCAGATCCAACCTAAGACCGATGTCTTGTATACAGCCATACTTGGCCGCCCGTCTCACCAGATCCAACCTAAGACCGATGTCTTGTATACAGCCATACTTGGCCGTCTAATCAGATCCAACCTTAGACCGACGTGTCTTGTATACAGCCATACTTGGCCGTCTCATCAGATGCAGCCTTAGACCGATGTGTCTTGTATGCAGCCATACTTGGCCGTCTAATCAGATCCAACCTAAGACCGATGTCTTGTATACAGCCATACTTGGCCGTCTCATCAGATCCAGCCTAAGACCGATGTGTCTTGTATACAGCCATACTTGGCCGCCCGTCTCATCAGATCCAACCTAGGACCGATGTGTCTTGTATACAGCCATACTTGGCCGTCTAATCAGATCCAATCTTAGACCGATGTGTCTTGTAAACAGCCATACTTGGCCGCCCGTCTCATCAGATCCAGCCTAAGACCGATGTGTCTTGTATACAGCCATACTTGGCCGTCTAATCAGATCCAACCTAAGACCGATGTGTCTTGTATACAGCCATACTTGGCCGTCTCATCAGATCCAGCCTAAGACCGATGTGTCTTGTATACAGCCATACTTGGCCGCCCGTCTCATCATATCCAACCTAGGACCGATGTGTCTTGTATACAGCCATACTTGGCCGTCTCATCAGATCCAACCTAAGACCGATGTCTTGTATACAGCCATACTTGGCCGCCCGTCTCATCAGATCCAGCCTAAGACCGATGTGTCTTGTATACAGCCATACTTGGCCGTCTAATCAGATCCAGCCTAAGACCGATGTCTTGTATACAACCATACTTGGCCGTCTCATCAGATCCAGCCTAAGACCGATGTGTCTTGTATACAGCCATACTTGGCCGTCTAATCAGATCCAACCTAAGACCGATGTGTCTTGTATACAGCCATACTTGGCCGCCCGTCTCATCAGATCCAACCTAAGACCGATGTGTCTTGTATACAGCCATACTTGGCCGTCTAATCAGATCCAGCCTAAGACCGATGTGTCTTGTATACAGCCATACTTGGCCGTCTCATCAGATCCAGCCTAAGACCGATGTGTCTTGTATACAGCCATACTTGGCCGTCTAATCAGATCCAGCCTAAGACCGATGTCTTGTATACAACCATACTTGGCCGTCTCATCAGATCCAGCCTAAGACCGATGTGTCTTGTATACAGCCATACTTGGCCGTCTAATCAGATCCAACCTAAGACCGATGTGTCTTGTATACAGCCATACTTGGCCGCCCGTCTCATCAGATCCAACCTAAGACCGATGTGTCTTGTATACAGCCATACTTGGCCGTCTAATCAGATCCAGCCTAAGACCGATGTGTCTTGTATACAGCCATACTTGGCCGTCTCATCAGATCCAGCCTAAGACCGATGTGTCTTGTATACAGCCATACTTGGCCGCCCGTCTCATCAGATCCATCCTAAGACCGATGTGCCTTGTATACAGCCATACTTGGCCGCCCGTCTCATCAGATCCAACCTAAGACCGATGTGCCTTGTATACAGCCATACTTGGCCGCCCGTCTCATCAGATCCAACCTAAGACCGATGTGTCTTGTATACAGCCATACTTTGCCGTCTCATCAGATCCATCCTAAGACCGATGTGTCTTGTATACAGCCATACTTGGCCGTCTAATCAGATCCAACCTAAGACCGATGTGTCTTGTATACAGCCATACTTGGCCGTCTAATCAGATCCAGCCTAAGACCGATGTGTCTTGTATACAGCCATACTTGGCCGTCTCATCAGATCCAGCCTAAGACCGATGTGTCTTGTATACAGCCATACTTGGCCGCCCGTCTCATCAGATCCAACCTAAGACCGATGTGCCTTGTATACAGCCATACTTGGCCGTCTCATCAGATCCAGCCTAAGACCGATGTGTCTTGTATACAGCCATACTTGGCCGTCTAATCAGATGCAGCCTAAGACCGATGTGTCTTGTATGCAGCCATACTTGGCCGCCCGTCTCATTAGATCCAACCTAAGACCGATGTCTTGTATACAAGTTAACACATTTTATGACCTGTGTTAGAGTGCGTGTGTTACTGTCTTTTTTTCCCTCTCGTTGTGAGTTTTTGTGCGTGCCATTTAGCAACAGTTCTACAAAATGACGTGTGTTACTATTTTTACGTAGCCTGTGTTGCCAACTAATGCCAAGAGCACAGTGCGGCAAGAAAATATAACCCAGTTATTGCCCTTTGTAAACGTTGAGCGGTCAGTAGAAAACCTCCAACATTTTACAATGACCGACAAGACAAGCCTGTAGTAGAACTAGATATGAGCAAGACACCATGTTTGTACTAGATCCCCACATTCCAACGTTTCACCAAAACCTGATTCTAGGTACTGTGTTGTTGTTAGTATGGGACATTTTATTGTTACTTTAGTCTGTTTACTAGAAAAACGTGGACACGTTTGTGTTTTCCCCACTAGTAGCCAGGACTTGAAACACTTGTATGGCTAGCTGTGTGAATACAGATCGTGTGCTGGGACACGGGTCTGTGCTGACACATCGAACTGCTGGCTTACAGTAGGGTGGCAGCAATCAACAAACACAGCTCTAAATAAAACCTCATGTGTCTCCTATCATCTTTATAATGGGATTAGAATCAAGTCTACTGATACAGTAGACCTTGCACCTGTTTAAAGCCTATCTTTACAATACTAAACTACTAATGAAGTGATTTCTGAGTCAACACTACATCATTATGGTGTGTATTTGTAACCTGCTATAAATATCTGGTTTGATGAAACAATCAGGAAGTTTTTCTTCTAAAATATAAACAGGATATGATAAAGGTTAAAGGTTAAATCTAACCAGCCCCAATACCAGCTGACCAATGTGGCTGTCATTTGATCAACCACACACTCTGTGAGACATGTATTAGGTGGTGAAGTCTACCATCAAATGATAAAGGTTAAAGGTTAAATCTAACCAGCCCCAATACCAGCTGACCAATGTGGCTGTCATCTGATCAACCACACACTCTGTGAGACATGTATTAGCTGGTGAAGTCTGCCATCAAATGAGCTGTTTTTGTTGTCACTGTGCAGCCCCTCTCCCTCTCCAAACAAAACACTTATCTGTTGCTTATGTTTTGTTACTACATGCATCCTTCAGTATCCAGCACATTATAGTATACATGCCTAGACCAGGGGGGAGGGGGTGATCATTTAATTTTTTCAACCTTGGGAAATTAATGGACATTTTTTTTTAAAATAATAACTTGATAGAGAGAGAGAAAACTGTTTACAATAACTATGAAGGTATGAAGCTAATGAGATGATGTAATCATGGGAACTGTCCCCAGCCCCAATTCACAAAGCTGAGCAAAAGTTTACCTGTCTTACCTTGTGTTGGGATGCCATTATTGGAGACTTTGTGTCAACAAACCCTGGAGCACCATGTCAAAACAAATGAGCCCACTCATGTTTTTATTATCAGAGAGATAAACAATGGCTGTGTTTAAACAATCCATTGTATAGGCATCTTGTTATTTAGGCTCATACTTGTCACTGCTGTTGTGTTGGTTAGATTTATTTTGATGTTGTAGACTCTTAGGTGCAGTATAGCTGATGTATACATGATCAGATGATAGGATGCATATCATTTTTTAATGAAGTCGCTACACAAAAAAAAAAGCCACTTTTTTAATTCTGGTAATTGTCTCATGTAAGAAGGCAATGTTTTTCTAAGGTTTTCTTGACACTTGGTGATTCATATTCATGCAGACATTTCTTGCTGTAATTTGATAGCCAATTTTTTTTCTTCACATTTAGGACACAGCCACACTTCACAATCTAATATGGCCTTTCATGGGCGAGACAAGTCAAGGACAGGAGGGGTAGGATTTTTTTACTCCTAGTCTTCTGTTGGGGTAAACTGTTGTGTGGGAAAGGGGAGGGGGCATATTTTACATGTGTGGGCAGGGGGTAATTGGCTTTTTTTTCTCTAAATTATGTAGGGGGGGGGGGGGGCTGCATTATTCTAATTGTGGTGCTGGTAACTTGGGAGGGGGGCTATTTACTTTTATGTGAAATGGTAATTAATTATGGAGACTGGATATTTAATTTTAGTTATGTTTTTTTCATAACAATTATGTGGGGTGGTAGGGCAGTGTATGTTTACTTTTAGTGGTTTTTTGGTTAAACTATTTTGAGATTTTGAGGTGGGGGGTGTTTAAGTTATGTAATGGTAAGTAATTAGAACAGTTGGTAGCCTGACACATGAAAGACTATTTCAAGTACATTTGTTGGCCTAGTAAAATTATTATTGTTGCTGTATGGGACTAAGGAAGGGACCAATAGTGTATATCACATAGTAAAGACATGTTTTTTCTTGTTGTCTTCAAGCTGGGAAGGCTCGTAGTGGATTCTTTTTGCTGGTCAAATCTCTTTTGATGGCTTGGTAGTCAGGGTGGACTCGTGTGTTGAAGAAAATATAAGCAGCAACATCTGACTTTGGTAACATTACCACACCATCCCACCTGACTACCACCAAACACAAACCTAACATTCCTCTGTATGACAGTGTATGACACCATGCAATAACTAGGATGCCATATCCCCACAGGATCCTGATGAATCCATACCCCTGACATCAGATCAAGATGGGATGAACCTGGACTCAACACCCAGTTCAGGCTCTCTAGTAGCTGAAATCCTTGCCAATGGTGCAGAGGATGGCCCTCCAAGAAGCCTTATCATGCGCTCTGTCAGCACAGAGCCCATCATATCAAGGGGTGTAACTCTAGACGATGAAAATGTTACCCGCCTCTCTTTCCTTCATGATGAGGTACAGAATACAGCTTCATACAGTTTGATGTTTTAAAACTTTATTTAGAATACATTTATTCAATATCTATTGTTATAAAAATCTTATAAGAGATGTTATCTGTCAAATTTGAAATAAAACATCTAATAAGTTAGTACAACTTTGTGTCCTAAGCTAATGAGTTAAAATGTTGTTCTCAATGTGTGGTCCAGGTGGAAAAGATCTTTGACACAGACTGGAGATATGACAGCACAACTCTGACCACAGATCCCAACTCTAAAGCTCAGGCCCTGAACTTGATGGGCAGAGAGAGCAGCAAGTTGTCCCTGTCTGAGTCCTACCATGTGGATGAGGCTGAGTACTCCAGTAGGTCTACACACTCTTCACATTTGCTGTTCATCTTACTTCTTTTTCTCTAAGCTCAATTCAAATCTCAAATAGGCATTGTAAATTGTTGAAACAAATATCTTTTTAAATTCTGCTTGTTAAACTTGCACATTTTCTTGTTAAATAATAGAAAGAAAAATTGAATGAATTAAAAAATTGGTGATGGTATTTCATTGTTTGAACTCTACAAAACTTACATTTTGGTATGTTGTTGTCAGGACATCGCAAAGTCTCGTACCCACACATCCATCAACCATTGAGGTCTCTCTCCAACAAGTCTCTCAGCAAATCTCACAAGTCTCACAAGGAGAAAAAGAAGGCAAAAAAGAAGAAAAAGAAAGAAAAACTGAGGAGTTTTCCATCCCAAGGGGCAATCAAGAGCCCCACCATACCTGAAGAGGAAGAAGAACACTTTGACCCAGTGGATGATGATTCTGTAAGTGGACATATACACTGTACATCTTGTGACAGTACTCACTTTCTTGAATGTTACTAATAACTTTTTAATTTGCCTGTAACACCTATTCTTATGTTATGTATAGCTGATAAGGAAACTATAAAAACAGTTACAATTTATTTCATTAATGTTATAGTTAGAATGTTTTTTTATATCTGACTTTCCTAAATTAATGGCTGTATTTTCATTGTAATAGTTAGATGAATGTGTTGTGCCATATTTCAGGATTCTGGGAGTAGCTCTGTTACTGATGATGATGAATATGATGAAGAGTATAATAGAGAAACTGAAGGGGACGTCTCATCCAAGCAAGAGCCGTATGAGACAACTATAGAGCTGAAGATCCAACCAGCCACACCAAGCCCAGCAGATGAGAGAGACATTCAGCTGGACCAGTCCAAGCTAGCACAACCACGGCCTAAAGATGCTGTGAGTTGTTGGGCTGTTTTTTCTTATTGCAGTCATCAATCTGTGTCTCATAAATTTATGTATTAAATGCTTTTCATGTTTGTAAACAATCTTCAGTAAATATGAATGTTTTGTGTTTATTACCAAATATTAGTATCATCTGGTAGTAATGTTAGCACCATTATGTTAGTAAATTTAATTTTAAATCTTGCTGAGTTGGACTTGTTTAAAAAATGTACAATCACTGTTTTGAAAATGTTTTTTGATTCTCCCCCTAGGTTGACTTTTTTATCGGTGCAGATTTTCCATCTCCAATATCAGAGAGCCAGGAGCAGCCTTTCCCTGTGGCTTCCACCCCATTCATTGAGTCCCAGCCAGCCTCCAGCAGTGTGCAGGCAGCATCAGATGAGGAGACTGGCTTCATGTCTGACCCTGGCCTCTCTTCCTTCAGTGAAGAGATTGCCTTACAGACACTGAAGAAAAGTTTGTCTGAGGATCCAGGCAATTTCAACAGCAAGCAGGAAGTGGAGGAAGCCACGCCCTCGTTCCGTCCAGCCTACTTGGCCCTGGATGTGGCAGATGACAGAGGGACCCCATCTCCCATGGCGCACATGCCACCCAGGGAGCAAAGTTTGACAGGGAAAGTCACATTTGTTGTTGGTAAGTTGACCAGCCATAGGTTAGGGTTAGGATATGGGCTTAGGATAGGGTTATTGTTACTGCTAGAATGTTACTTACAAGGCTTAGGGCAGTAATAATTTTTCTGTAGCTTCATAACTCAAGCATCCACGAAACAAAGAACAAAACCAACATTTTCATGGTTGATTTTTTAATGTAGCTTTGCAGAAAATCTAGCTACTTAAATATTTTGATTTGTACTAAGCTTCATTGCCCGTTAGTAATTCTATTTTTAATATATTTGTCCTTATTTGCGTGAACAAGTTGAGACTGCATTAAAGATATTTTGAGCAGGTGATGACTCCAGCTACCCCAGCTATGCAGCCTTTCAAACCCAGATGGCTGGCACAGTACCTGATGTAGAGCAAGGTGGGGAGCCGTCTGGGGGAGATGAAGAGGATGATGATGACGACAAGGAGAATGTGTGGAAGAGAAAGAAAAGGAGAGATTCTGGGGGGCATAGGAGGGGCAGTACTGAAGGCTACACACAAGAGTCCGAGACCCATGACTTGCAGCGTGTTCCAAGGTAAGGTTTCTCAATAGGCTGGTTCCTGGGTAATATTTGAAGGTTTCTCAATAGTTCCTGGGTAATATTTGAAGGTATCTCAATAGGCTGGTTCCTGGGTAATATTTGAAGGTATCTCAATAGTTCCTGGGTAATATTTGAAGGTTTCTCAATAGTTCCTGGGTAACATTTGAAGGTTTCTCAATAGTTCCTGGGTAATATTTGAAGGTATCTCAATAGGCTGGTTCCTGGGTAATATTTGAAGGTATCTCAATAGTTCCTGGGTAATATTTGAAGGTTTCTCAATAGTTCCTGGGTAACATTTGAAGGTTTCTCAATAGTTCCTGGGTAATATTTGAAGGTATCTCAATAGGCTGGTTCCTGGGTAATATTTGAAGGTATCTCAATAGTTCCTGGGTAATATTTGAAGGTTTCTCAATAGTTCCTGGGTAACATTTGAAGGTTTCTCAATAGTTCCTGGGTAATATTTGAAGGTATCTCAATAGGCTGGTTCCTGGGTAATATTTGAAGGTATCTCAATAGTTCCTGGGTAATATTTGAAGGTTTCTCAATAGTTCCTGGGTAATATTTGAAGGTATCTCAATAGTTCCTGGGTAATATTTGAAGGTATCTCAATAGTTCCTGGGTGATATTTGAAGGTATCTCAATAGTTCCTGGGTAACATTTGAAGGTTTCTCAATAGTTCCTGGGTAATATTTGAAGGTTTCTCAATAGTTCCTGGGTAATATTTGAAGGTATCTCAATAGTTCCTGGGTAATATTTGAAGGTATCTCAATAGTTCCTGGGTAATATGTGAAGGTATCTCAATAGTTCCTGGGTAATATTTGAAGGTATCTCAATAGTTCCTGGGTAATATTTGAAGGTTTCTCAATAGTTCCTGGGTGATATTTGAAGGTATCTCAATAGTTCCTGGGTGATATTTGAAGGTATCTCAATAGTTCCTGGGTAATATTTGAAGGTATCTCAATAGTTCCTGGGTAATATTTGAAGGTATCTCAATAGTTCCTGGGTAATATTTGAAGGTATCTCAATAGTTCCTGGGTAATATTTGAAGGTTTCTCAATAGTTCCTGGGTGATATTTGAAGGTATCTCAATAGTTCCTGGGTGATATTTGAAGGTATCTCAATAGTTCCTGGGTAATATTTGAAGGTTTCTCAATAGTTCCTGGGTAATATTTGAAGGTTTCTCAATAGTTCCTGGGTAATATTTGAAGGTATCTCAATAGTTCCTGGGTAATATTTGAAGGTATCTCAATAGTTCCTGGGTAACATTTGAAGGTTTCTCAATAGTTCCTGGGTAATATTTGAAGGTTTCTCAATAGTTCCTGGGTAATATTTGAAGGTATCTCAATAGTTCCTGGGTAACATTTGAAGGTTTCTCAATAGTTCCTGGGTAATATTTGAAGGTATCTCAATAGTTCCTGGGTAATATTTGAAGGTATCTCAATAGTTCCTGGGTAACATTTGAAGGTTTCTCAATAGTTCCTGGGTAATATTTGAAGGTATCTCAATAGTTCCTGGGTAACATTTGAAGGTTTCTCAATAGTTCCTGGGTAACATTTGAAGGTATCTCAATAGTTCCTGGGTAATATTTGAAGGTTTCTCAATAGTTCCTGGGTAATATTTGAAGGTATCTCAATAGTTCCTGGGTAATATTTGAAGGTATCTCAATAGTTCCTGGGTAATATTTGAAGGTATCTCAATAGTTCCTGGGTAATATTTGAAGGTATCTCAATAGTTCCTGGGTAATATTTGAAGGTATCTCAATAGGCTGGTTCCTGGGTAATATTTGAAGGTATCTCAATAGGCTGGTTCCTGGGTAATATTTGAAGGTATCTCAATAGTTCCTGGGTAATATTTGAAGGTATCTCAATAGGCTGGTTCCTGGGTAATATTTGAAGGTATCTCAATAGGCTGGTTCCTGGGTAATATTTGAAGGTATCTCAATAGTTCCTGGGTAATATTTGAAGGTATCTCAATAGTTCCTGGGTAATATTTGAAGGTTTCTCAATAGTTCTTGGGTGATATTTGAAGGTTTCTCAATAGTTCCTGGGTAATATTTGAAGGTTTCTCAATAGTTCCTGGGTAATATTTGAAGGTATCTCAATAGTTCCTGGGTAATATTTGAAGGTTTCTCAATAGTTCCTGGGTAATATTTGAAGGTATCTCAATAGTTCCTGGGTAATATTTGAAGGTATCTCAATAGTTCCTGGGTAATATTTGAAGGTTTCTCAATAGTTCCTGGGTAACATTTGAAGGTTTCTCAATAGTTCCTGGGTAATATTTGAAGGTATCTCAATAGGCTGGTTCCTGGGTAATATTTGAAGGTTTCTCAATAGTTCCTGGGTAATATTTGAAGGTATCTCAATAGTTCCTGGGTAATATTTGAAGGTATCTCAATAGGCTGGTTCCTGGGTAATATTTGAAGGTATCTCAATAGTTCCTGGGTATTATTTGATAACAAAGACTTTTCTGTAAGAAGATTGTTAAAGTAGTCATTCTTGGGGAATTTTTTATCTGGAAAAAAAAGATTAGAGTAGGACATCGGTCAGCTAGTTTATTATCTCATGTGTCCGCTGTATGGTTTGTTTCAGTGTGGAGGGTAGTCAGTCAACTCGCTCATCAAAGCGCCGTCATCACCATCATCATGAGCATTTTCATCGAGAGGATTTAATCATGAGACGTCAGAAGGGGAGCGAGGTGAAGCTGGACCAGACATTCAAGAAGTCACCCACAGAAATAGAGGAGGCCTCCATGTTGTACAAGTCTGATTTAGATGAGATGGCCAGTAAGTTGTCTGTCTTGTTTCAACTCTAAACATCATGGCTAAATATACAACCTTTAAATGGTGTACAAGATTTAGATGAGATGGCCAGTAAGTTGTCTGTCTTGTTTCAACTCTAAACATCATGGCTAAATATACAACCTTTAAATGGTGTACAAGATTTAGATGAGATGGCCAGTAAGTTATCTGTCTTGTTTCAACTCTATAAGTCATGGCTAAATATACAACCTTTAAATGGTGTACAAGATTTAGATGAGATGGCCAGTAAGTTATCTGTCTTGTTTCAACTCTATAAGTCATGGCTAAATATACAATCTTTAAATGGTGTATAAGATTTAGATGAGATGGCCAGTAAGTCTTTAGTCCTCTTGTTTCAACTGTATAAGTCATGGCTAAATATACAGTCTTTAAATGGTGTACAAGATTTAGATGAGATGGCCAGTAAGTTATCTGTCTTGTTTCAACTCTAAACATCATGGCTAAATATACAATCTTTAAATGGTGTACAAGATTTAGATGAGATGGCCAGTAAGTTATCTGTCTTGTTTCAACTCTATAAGTCATGGCTAAATATACAACCTTTAAATGGTGTACAAGATTTAGATGAGATGGCCAGTAAGTTATCTGTCTTGTTTCAACTCTAGAAGTCATGGCTAAATATACAATCTTTAAATGGTGTACAAGATTTAGATGAGATGGCCAGTAAGTTGTCTGTCCTCTTGTCTCAACTCTATAAGTCATGGCTAAATATACAACCTTTAAATGGTGTACAAGATTTAGATGAGATGGCCAGTAAGTTGTCTGTCTTGTTTCAACTTTAAACATCATGGCTAAATATACAACCTTTAAATGGTGTACAAGATTTAGATGAGATGGCCAGTAAGTTATCTGTCTTGTTTCAACTCTAAACATCATGGCTAAATATACAATCTTTAAATGGTGTACAAGATTTAGATGAGATGGCCAGTAAGTTATCTGTCTTGTTTCAACTCTAGAAGTCATGGCTAAATATACAATCTTTAAATGGTGTACAAGATTTAGATGAGATGGCCAGTAAGTTATCTGTCTTGTTTCAACTCTAGAAGTCATGGCTAAATATACAACCTTTAAATGGTGTACAAGATTTAGATGAGATGGCCAGTAAGTTGTCTGTCTTGTTTCAACTCTAGAAGTCATGGCTAAATATACAACCTTTAAATGGTGTACAAGATTTAGATGAGATGGCCAGTAAGTTATCTGTCTTGTTTCAACTCTATAAGTCATGGCTAAATATACAACCTTTAAATGGTGTACAAGATTTAGATGAGATGGCCAGTAAGTTGTCTGTCTTGTTTCAACTCTAGAAGTCATGGCTAAATATACAACCTTTAAATGGTGTACAAGATTTAGATGAGATGGCCAGTAAGTTGTCTGTCTTGTTTCAACTCTAGAAGTCATGGCTAAATATACAACCTTTAAATGGTGTACAAGATTTAGATGAGATGGCCAGTAAGTAGTCTGTCTTGTTTCAACTCTAGAAGTCATGGCTAAATATACAACCTTTAAATGGTGTACAAGATTTAGATGAGATGGCCAGTAAGTTGTCTGTCTTGTTTCAACTCTAGAAGTCATGGCTAAATATACAACCTTTAAATGGTGTACAAGATTTAGATGAGATGGCCAGTAAGTTGTCTGTCTTGTTTCAACTCTAGAAGTCATGGCTAAATATACAACCTTTAAATGGTGTACAAGATTTAGATGAGATGGCCAGTAAGTTGTCTGTCTTGTTTCAACTCTATAAGTCATGGCTAAATATACAGTCTTTAAATGGTGTACAAGATTTAGATGAGATGGCCAGTAAGTTGTCTGTCCTCTTGTTTCAGCTCTATAAGTCATGGCTAAATATACAACCTTTAAATGGTGTACAAGATTTAGATGAGATGGCCAGTAAGTTGTCTGTCTTGTTTCAACTCTATAAGTCATGGCTAAATATACAACCTTTAAATGGTGTACAAGATTTAGATGAGATGGCCAGTAAGTTGTCTGTCCTCTTGTTTCAGCTCTATAAGTCATGGCTAAATATACAACCTTTAAATGGTGTACAAGATTTAGATGAGATGGCCAGTAAGTTGTCTGTCCTCTTGTTTCAGCTCTATAAGTCATGGCTAAATATACAACCTTTAAATGGTGTACAAGATTTAGATGAGATGGCCAGTAAGTTGTCTGTCTTGTTTCAACTCTAGAAGTCATGGCTAAATATACAACCTTTAAATGGTGTACAAGATTTAGATGAGATGGCCAGTAAGTTATCTGTCTTGTTTCAACTCTATAAGTCATGGCTAAATATACAACCTTTAAATGGTGTACAAGATTTAGATGAGATGGCCAGTAAGTTGTCTGTCTTGTTTCAACTCTATAAGTCATGGCTAGATATACAACCTTTAAATGGTGTACAAGATTTAGATGAGATGGCCAGTAAGTTATCTGTCTTGTTTCAACTCTATAAGTCATGGCTAAATATACAACCTTTAAATGGTGTACAAGATTTAGATGAGATGGCCAGTAAGTTGTCTGTCTTGTTTCAACTCTAAACATCATGGCTAAATATACAACCTTTAAATGGTGTACAAGATTTAGATGAGATGGCCAGTAAGTTATCTGTCTTGTTTCAACTCTAGAAGTCATGGCTAAATATACAGCCTTTAAATGGTGTACAAGATTTAGATGAGATGGCCAGTAAGTTATCTGTCTTGTTTCAACTGTATAAGTCATGGCTAAATATACAGCCTTTAAATGGTGTACAAGATTTAGATGAGATGGCCAGTAAGTTGTCTGTCTTGTTTCAACTCTATAAGTCATGGCTAAATATACAGCCTTTAAATGGTGTACAAGATTTAGATGAGATGGCCAGTAAGTAGTCTGTCTTGTTTCAACTCTATAAGTCATGGGTAAATATACAGCCTTTAAATGGTGTACAAAATTTAGATGAGATGGCCAGTAAGTTATCTGTCCTCTTGTCTCAACTCTATTAGTCATTGCTAAACATACAATCTTTAAATGGTGTACAAGATTTAGATGAGATGGCCAGTAAGTTATCTGTCTTGTTTCAACTCTAAACATTATGGCTAAATATACAACCTTTAAATGGTGTACAAGATTTAGATGAGATGGCCAGTAAGTTGTCTGTCCTCTTGTCTCAACTCTATAAGTCATGGCTAAATATACAATCTTTAAATGGTGTACAAGATTTAGATGAGATGGCCAGTAAGTTATCTGTCTTGTTTTAACTCTATAAGTCATGGCTAAATATACAATCTTTAAATGGTGTACAAGATTTAGATGAGATGGCCAGTAAGTTGTCTGTCTTGTTTCAACTCTATAAGTCATGGCTAAATATACAACCTTTAAATGGTGTACAAGATTTAGATGAGATGGCCAGTAAGTTATCTGTCTTGTTTCAACTCTATAAGTCATGGCTAAATATACAACCTTTAAATGGTGTACAAGATTTAGATGAGATGGCCAGTAAGTCTTTAGTCCTCTTGTTTCAACTCTATAAGTCATGGCTAAATATACAACCTTTAAATAAACATGCTACACCAACTTTTCAAACCTTCCAGGTCACAGGTTTGAAGATCAACGAGGGATAAGACGACATAAAATTGCCCGCAGCAAAGGAGCTTTACGCTCCATTGTCCACATTGGCAAATCTCATCATATCAAAAAACATAAGGTGGTGAAAAAGTTTGACCACAGCCCACATGAGGTCAGTTGCATTTCTTCAGAACCCTTACCCTATGATATCAGGTTGGGTCTACTACACCATGGGCCATACAATAAAATGTGTAAATATCTGTAAATCTAACTCTGCATGCAGACAATAAACATCTCAGGGGACCAAAGACCAGTCCAACAAGACAAAGTTATCATAGTTTGTAACTAATTATTTAGAGAGATTAAATTTAGTTGCCAAAATGGGTTGGGAAAAAAATTCAGCTCATAGTCTGACCTTTATTGTGTTACCTCAGATGTTTGGGGGTGTAAGTTCTGTGCCAGAACAAATTTCAGCAACTGAGTCTAAATTCTGTGAATAGGCCCTGCAGTGTTACACAATGGTCGAGGCCTTGTATGTATCTTCTATGTGAATTATATTTGTGTCACATGCCTGAATATAATTGTACCAGCATGTGTTCTGGTTACTTGCAGGTGTTTGTGGAACTGGATGAGCTTCACATTGGTAGTGAGGATATGTGGGAGTGGAGAGAAAAGGCAAGATGGATCAAGTTTGAGGAGGATGTTGAGGAGGGGGCTGAGAGGTGGGGCAAGCCTCATGTAGCTTCACTCTCTTTCCATTCTCTGCTGGAGCTTAGGAGGGGTTTAGAGAATGGTTGGTTGCTTTTTTTTTTATCATTTGGTCATCTTTTTGTTCTCTGTTGGCATTCATTCAGTTGTAGAAACTACAAAGTGTGATGGCTGCGTCACCGCTCTGTGATATTTAGACATTTATTTAGCCAAATTGTATATAACTACTAGGTGTATAGGCTATGTCACTCTTTAATGAAAAGTGATACTTCAGACATTTATTTAGCCAAGTTGTATAATCTCCAATGTGAGAGGGCTATTGCCATGCCTGTGAGTTGACCACGAGTGTTCTGTTGAGCAGGTACTGTGCTGCTGGACCTGGAGGCCACAGACCTGACCTCCATCATCCACAACGTGACAGAAAACATGGTCATCAGGGACCTGGTAGAAGAGGAGGTCAAAGGAAAGCTGCTGCGAACACTACTGCTTAAACACAAGTAAGTCTGTCTGACATAGCACCTCTAGAGCATGGCGTCTGTCATTGATGAATGTTTGATATGTCTAGCTCATCACCATCATTATGGGTGTGTATTTGAAGAACAGCTGTGTTTAGATCTAAATCAACCCCAGTAGTGAAATGACATTAGATTTCAAAACATTTGTGTATGCTTTTATCTAGGTTTGGACAAACAGAATGCCATGTTTAAAAAGTTAATCAGGTCATTTTACGCAAAGCTCATGATCAATGAAAGGCTTTTCTTGAGTGTACTGGGTGGTCAGTGTAAAGTGACATCTTAAATAACCACTCATATATCATTTACTATGTTAATCTCATAAAAGCTTTTTAAATATGTTTTAGCTTGCTTATTGATGCATGCTTTGTTTTATACATTTATAAAACTAATTCAAGACAAAATCATAGCTATATACTTAATGTTTTCAGTATTGTATTTTATTTCTATTTGTTAAATATTTTCAAAATTTTGCTTGTATGTCTCACACGTTTCTTTTTTTAGAAAAGGTTTTTAAAAAAAAATATTCAGAGCATTGTACACTTTTTAATTGTTTTTATAAGTTTTATTTTTTAAAATGTATAATAGTTTTAGAAAAGATGAATTTATTTGTGTAACTGACATTTTGAATGTTGAAGATTCCATGTGTAGTGGCATTAACTTAAAGGACCAACTGCCTTTCTTGTTGATGCAAATCTAATGACCTTGTTGGATACTAAACATTTTCAGGCATGTGAGTGGTCGATCAGCTTTCCTGCGCCGTAATCCATCTTATTCTAACTTGACCAGTCTGGACAATGCAGGGAAAAGGTTCTTTTCTTTTTTTTATTTGGATTGTTGTTTCTTCAACCCAAAATGGTGGACGTGCTACTTAATTCAACCTTTGAATATAATTTGTAGAATTGCTTTATCCAAGTCAAAGGTGTCTGCCATTTTGAAGTTAGATGCAATGTTGTGGGCACATTGAAGTTAACACTGCGCATGTTGTCTTGTTGTTAGCTCCATTGATATCTCTGTCCCTGCATGGTAGTGTCCCACACAATCTTTGTTTTTTGACAGTACTAATACTTTCATTTATGTCTTCTTCATTAAAGCAGTTGAACTTACCCACACTTTTTTGGTTACTAGAATTTTAGTGAGAAAGTTAACATTTACCTGCTTGTTACTAGTTTTACTAGTGTATGCAAATGTTGCATGGTTTGCTTTTGTTGAGACATGTCATACATTCTAAACTTTTGAGTCATTTGTATTTTAAGAAAATTCTTATTACAGCATTCATTATCCTTTTAAAAAAGTAATATGAATATAATTTTTTGTTGAATCAGCAGTACAATAAAAATAAAGTAATGAAAGTAGTATGTCTCCAGTGCAGATCAAGAAATGTTTGATGAAATATTTAAGCTTGACTTTTAAGTTTACAATTCAACTTTTCACTTGACTGACTTTACAGTGGGTATTAGCCTGCTTGTTGCATCATACATTTACATAGATCAAGAAATGTTTGATGAAATATTTAAGCTTGACTTTTAAGGTTTACAATTCAACTTTTCACTTGACTGACTTTACAGTGGGTATTGGCCTGCTTGTTGCATCATACATTTACATAGATCAAGAAATGTTTGATGAAATATTTAAGCTTGACTTTTAAGGTTTACACCTCATTTTTCCACTTGATTGACTTTACAGTGGGTATTAGCCTGCTTGGTGCATCATACAAATATATAGACAAGAACTCCTTTAAGTAGATCACATTTTTTTTCAGTTTGGAAAATTATTTATTTGTATATGCAAACATAAGCTTCTATTTCTGTAGCATACAATACTCACTCAAAAGTTATTTTCTCCTCTAAAATGTATCTTTCACGTATGAATTTATCTTAATCATGAAATCTTTCTTCTACTAAATTCATTTCCATTTGTTTAAAGAAAGTGATAGTTGTTTCATATAAATCACTATGTTTAAGGCTATGCATTTGTTACCTTTATTTACTTTTGTTTCATATGCTTTGCTTATTAATGTTTTCTTCTGGTAAGAGGTTGAAGAATTTTATAATTTTTTCCCCTTTTGTTTTACTGCATTATGATTTTTAGATGTTGAATTTGATTTTTTAATAGGAAATACCTAGGAATATTTAAACTTTGTGAAATATTGTGAAACTGGGCCAAAAATGTTTTTCGTTAAAACTATCACATGTAGCAAGTTTGTTTATAATCTAATTACAATCAGCTGACACAGTAAGAATGGCAAGCTGTTGTTGAGTTGGGTTTATTATGTGCAATATGCATGCTGTTGTAAGACACAACAAGAGTTCATTAACTCAATACCAGTACACTACACCACATTGTGTATGTAACGCTCTTCCACATAGTACATCTAATACTGTATCATACTGTACCAGTTGGTGCATCTAATACTGTATCATATCAGTATGTGTAATACTGTACCACTTGGTGCATCTAATTCTATAACATTTGACAAACTAGACATTTCAGTATGTCTAGTACTGTACCACACTGTACATCTAATACTGTAACATTTGACAAACTAGACATTTCAGTATGTCTATAACATTGGTGTATCTAATGTGTAATCTCTACTGAGTGTAGCTACTAACAACTAAACAGCCTAAAAACTTTTTTTACTAAGAGATTTGTTTTTCTAACTTTGATTTCTCTGCTTTTGTTTTTAAATTAAATTTAAATGATATAGTGTGGATTACAATGGAGCTCATTGTGTGCCATTTTCTTGCACTGTATTATGTAGACTATAGCTATCTAAACTCTGGTTTCAAGTCATGTATTAGCAATGCATCACCATCACTTAACATAACTGGGTTTGTGAAATGATCACAGATGGTTGCTAAAAGAAATAAATAATTAACTCTTCTATAACGTAAACCATCCTTATCACCATGCATGCATTAAGCATTCAAATATCTATTCACTGTATCAAGGTTTTAACATTTTCTCAGTGAATAAAGGTGCATGTTAAATAAATCTGTGCTAGTGTAACTCTTGATATACTGCATTATTATTATGTTGATATACATGTGTTGCATTATTGTTAAATTGATGCATTGTGAATATCATGTACTCATTCAAAACCCTTGATAATTCCAATATACTGAGATTTTCCCAATGCTAATACAACGTCCACTCCACCTGTTGTAGACACCAGCAGAACAACGAGAAAGGCTTGTTGAACTCACTGTCCCAGAGCAGCTTTGGCTCCAACCTGGGACTCAGCAAGTCTGCCAGCACCACCTCTGTCATGGACAGGAAGAACAAAGACAACAAGGCTGCTGCCAAACTGGAGATGGTCAAAGTGGATGTGGATAACAATATGGTGAGTAGTTTACATGTGTACCCACCATGACAGTTGACTCTTCAGAGGTGTGCTCTTGTTTTGGCATGGTGTATTAGGGAACCAGCCTGATAGATGTGTGGAGAAACACAGCAAGTTGGGTATGATAGGATTCTGTCAAACTTTGCTCTGGTAGAAATACTTCAGTGGAATAGTAGAACATTAATGAAATTTATTTCCATTATAGAGATGATACTTGTAACTGTATAGCTATCTGATATACTGTTTGAACAGAGCCCCCACCCCCATTTATAAGACTATTTTGATCTGTTGAATGTAAAATGTACACTTACTGTATTGTCATATTAATTGAAGACAATTTGAACACCTATCAACTTGTCACATTGAAGACAATTTGATCAGTCTCAAATCCTTGTTTGCCACACCTCATAGGTTTTTACAAGTCAGTTTTATATGGAATGTTTTGAGTTTCAGTGTTTCTGAGAGGCTGAACTGTAGAACCCCAAGAATTACCAACGCATCTTTGTGATGTCTGCTATGGGTGGGGGCTTTGATTAGTTTTAGATACATACACAGACAGTCCATTCTTCTTAATGGCTTAGGTCTATCACTAGAATTACGGAGTCATAAAAATAATTGATGACAGATTCCTAACAACTTGAACATTTTTACATTTTTATTGTTCAATTTTACCAAATTTATTAAAATTGTTATTTTGATGGTTGATTTCCCCTTTTTGTAAGAAGAAACAATTATTGCCTTGTGTCTTCATCAAAGTTTACAAGAAAAACAATCACCTTGATTTATGTGTGTTTACATATATATATATATGTCATATTCTGTGAAGGAAAATAAAGCTTGTAATAATTGAATGTACATGGCTTTTGATTAATGCTTTGATGTCTTGAACGACTACTGTTTTAGCCTGCGCAGGAAGAAAGTTGTATGCTCTGTAGCAAGCAGGACTATGGTAGCATCAGTACCAAAGCTGATCTCAAACATCGCAAACGTGCTGCCCACAGAGACTGTCAGCCACATCACCATGTTAAACAAGCCAATGGTTACACACCGCTAGAAGGAACAAGGTGGCTCAGTGAAGCAAGTTCCAACCCAAAACTTTCACAATGTTTCTCTAGAGAGGAGTCACTAGAAGACTGTAGGCAGAGTTCTCTAACAGATAGGGATACAGATCAAGAGAGTGAGGTAGCTAACCTTAAGGAAAATGAGACCATAAATTCATATAAAGAGACTGATGCAACTAGTACTACGGAAAATGGGACAGTAACAACACATAAAGAAAATGATGAAACTAAGGAAAATGAGGCAGTCATTTCTCATAATGAAAGTGATGCAGATATCTTAAAAGAAAATGGGACAGTCATTTCTCATAATGAAAGTGATGCAGATATTTTAAAAGAAAATGGGACATTAGGTGCTCATACAGAAAATCTAAATGATAATCTTGAAGAAAAAGTTGTACCTGTATCTGAGCAAGAAGATGTTGTCCAACAAGAAGCCATCAATAAAAAAGATGATTTGGTAGAGGCCAGTGGTACATCACCAGGAAAAAGTTTGAGTGAACTTGCCTGTACACAGCCACAGACTTCCTCTATGGAACCTATTGTGGTAACCTCCATTTCATGGCTTCTTATTTTTGTTTGCATTGTACTTCAATATTTTTTTGGTTCTCTATATACCTAGCTCCTTAACAATAGACTTAAAATGTACATTGTATAAAAATGAAGTGGCTGATTATTTGAGTGCTCCCCATACATAACTTGGCTAATGCTGTATGGCTGCTCAGATAATGCTGCATGTAATTTGACAGACTACCATCATGCTTATCTTGAAGATTTTTGCAACACTCCAAATTTATTTTACCTCACTACAATTATTTAACTCAAAATCTTTTAACTGTTTGCCTAGAATGTGTTTGCCTAGAAAGTGTTTGCCTAGATTGTGTTTGCCTAGTATGTTTTGCCTTGAAAGTGTTTGCCTAGAATGTGTTTGCCTAGTATGTTTTTGCCTAATATATTTTTGCCTAGTATGTTTTTGCCTTGAAAGTGTTTCCTAGAATGTTTGCCTAGAATATGTTTGCCTAGGATCTGCTTATTTCCAAAGATGTGTACAGAAAGTGTCTTTACTATTGTTTGTTCCATGTTATATTTTCCCATTCTAGTTTTGACAGACTGTCCGATAGGTTCAGTTGTACCAGTATTGACTGTTGAATAGGTATATATTTTGTGTAGCTTGAAATTAGTTTTTTATAACCAACAAAAAAACAAATCCTGGTGATGTTGATACCACCCACTTGATATGAATTCCAGAGACCATCAATGTTATTTGATCTATGGTCTACTTTTGACTAGTAATTAAGATTTAAATTAATATATCTATATATTGTTTGACTGGATCTACTTATCAGCTTTCACTGTTGATTTTTACCTTGTTCAACCAATATAAGTGTTTTAGTTGATGTAGTATAAAATGTGTTGTAAAAATCATACAACCATTCTTTTAAGTTGTATACAACTAAAGTTAGATCCATAACACATGTAGAGTGCTGTAGTACACACTGCCATATAGAATGTTTACTTGTGCATGTCTAACAATGTGTGCACTGAGATTCCTACAAGTCTGATCAGAATTCTAAACTAATATTAGTACAAGGCATATATTGAACAAACTATTTACATGACTTAAAAATGTATTGATACAAATCTTCTACAAAGTAGTGTAGCATCCTGATGTAATAAAATATATATTACTTTCCTAGACCACTTTTGAATATGATGGAGATAGCTCTCTTTTGCTATGTTTATTGCACTATTCTGTTTTCTTGCATTCTTTTGATTTTCATTGCTTCTTTGCTTACAGCTAAAATATTTGGTGTCTGTCAAATTTACATGTCATACTTTTAATAACATTGAATTTTTTCCACCTAGACCTTAAAGTACGTTAAAACAGCTCTTATGTTAGACCATGATTAGTTCAGTAATTTATTATATTCTGACCAATTATTTTTCTCTTATAATAAAAGTTCTGTAAATCATCTCTTTTTAAATAAAATAAAATTTGAAAAATTGTAGTTGACATTTTAATGTAATGGACCGACCAATCATATATAAGGAAGAGATGTTGTCACATGACTTGTGTACATGAATGGTTTCTTCAGCTGGTTCAAGTCATGTTTTGTAATGACAGATTGGAAGATAGATTGGATGATCTTTGCATGCATTAGATTGTTGTTTGATGCATGTGGCTAGCTTGTTAACACTTAACCTTTGGGGTCTGGCTCTCTAGGTTATCTTACATGGTACATTCAGTCTTCACGTGAGTTGGTATAAATGATGTCAGTTTTCTGCAACTGACTTACAAAAGCTATTGAATAAAATTTATTCTGTAAATGAGTAACAGCCAAATAAAAAAAAACCTATTCAATTTTATTTTGTTGTAAATTAGCTACAAGTGATTATAAAGAAACAGTAAAAGGATATTTACATATCCAAAATGGAAGCTTAATTTTGAATATGTAAAATCCATTTTAGGTATTTCTCTTTCATCACGTCCTAAAGGTAGGCAAGCTTAGATATGGCTGTGTTCTTTACCTTGCTGTCATTTGTTACCTACAACTTTTATTTTCTTTGTGTGTGTGTGTGTGTGCATGTAGTGTTAATAGATTCACATGCATACACACATTGAACCTTTGTCATTTGATTTCATGTTCTTTAGTGCAACTCACCAGTTCATCATTTTTTTGGTTATGTTTATTTTACTTGCACTACCTTTTTAAATTTTTAGAAGTCCATGAAAAAGTTTGTTTTGCTGATACATGTTTAGTTAGTTGTTACAGGTAGTACTTTTTAAAGCTACAGACTCTTTATGTCTCATGCACATCCAGCAATGTTAAATACAATAAAAACCTCTAAGTAGCTATTATTAAACTGTTAAAGCAAGTTTTATTTACCTTGACATTTGTTGAACGTTGAAGCTGTAATCAATGCATGCATGCTCATTCTTAACTTTGCTGTTAAATTAGTTTAATCAGTGTGAATTGTTTTAATAAATGTTTTACAGACTGACAAACAAACAGATGGTGTCCATATTGGAATTACACCAGTAGAGCAAAAGAAGCATGTTCAGGACATTATGAGACGTATTCCTAAAGGTAAGATTATATGTAGGACATGCGACATATTCCTAAAGTGACTTAAAGATAAGATTTTATGTGTGGTGCTCAGTAGGAAATTATGAGATAGATTCCTAAAGATACATTTTAATATGTGCAGCGCTGTGTATATCAGAAATGGACATTTGTTAATTCAGTGCTTGACCATATAGTAACACTTTTATGTAGTAGAGAGACTGCTGAACACATACTTAACTACTTTCTTTAATGCATTACTGTTATATGTATTTAGATACTTGTTGACCGAAAACTGTAGAAGGCGGTTGGTTAATTAAAATTTGACATATTTCTGAAGAAGAGTGACAAGTTGATCAGTAATTGTCGTAGTCTTGATTATGCACCAAGTTCCATGCATGTCTTTGATCTTGTGACTTGAATTGTACAGGTGCTGAGGCCAGTAATGTCCTAGTGGGACAGGTGGACTTCCTTAAGAAACCTGCAATGGCTTTTGTCCGTCTAGCTGAAGGTCAGCTGTTGGAAAACTTGACCGAAGTCCCCCTGCCTGTCAGGTCAGTTGGATCAGTTTAGTTTATAACACATACCAGATGTCACTGACTAAACTTGTGACTTACGTTCCCTGTTTGTCTATTTTTCAGGTTTCTGTTTATTCTGCTTGGACCAGACAAAGGTGGAATGGATTACCATGAAGTTGGACGATCTTTTGCTACACTCATGTCCAACCAGGTTTGTTTTATTGATTCCATTTATTTTATGATTTTCTTTTAAAACAATTTTTAAATTGAAGAAAGAACAGTAAAACCTTTATATTTGAACTTTGTTAAGCAGCTTGTTTTAGTTCAATAATTCAAATAGTGAATCCACATTCCTGATGGGATTCAATGTAAAAAATAAGAGATTCTTTTACACCCCTAAAAAAAACAACTAAAAGCAATATCTTATAGCCCTGACTAATCTATTAGAACTGTATACTAATTTGACACTGTACAAAAAACGTTTGAGCCCAAGTCTTGTGTAAATGATGCACTAAACACATGTAACTTCCCTCAACATAGGGAGTGCTGGTGGCCTGGCGTAGGTAGGGAGAGCATCTGTTGTGTTGCATTAGGAACTTTTTAGTCTCTTTCTTAAATCTTTATAAGTTGTCAGAACAAAAATGAGATAGAAATAATATAAGATTGTTTACAACCTTTGAATACTGATTGAGTAAAAAAGCGTTTAAATATATAGTTTTTACTGTATTTTTTTTACTGTGTTTTCATATTTTGATGGTATTACTGTAATGTTTTGTCCAGCAATTCCATGATGTGGCCTATAGGGCAGAGTCCCGGGAAGATTTACTCAGAGCTATAAATAGTTTTCTGGATGATTCCATTGTGCTTCCCCCTGGTGACTGGGATCATCGTACCCTCCTACCCATCACACACATGGCACGCAAGAGGGCACTATTGCGTAAACAGAAGAAACAGCAGTTGGATGAGAAAGAAGGTAGGAATAATAAGACATCAGTTGTAGCCCAGCTTCATTTGCTTATTAGGTTCCCATGTAATGAAGTTAAGTGCAACACAAAGGCTAGAGTTAAGTTGAGAAAAATGATACAGTAGTATTTATGCACCCAGTGTGATCCAATGAGAAAAATGATACAGTAGTTATTTATGTACCCAGTGTGATGCAATGAGAAAAATGATACAGTAGTTATTTATGTACCCAGTGTGATGCAATGAGAAAAATGATACAGTAGTTATTTATGCACCCAGTGTGATGCAATGAGAAAAATGATACAGTAGTTATTTATGCACCCAGTGTGATGCAATGAGAAAAATGATACAGTAGTTATTTATGTACCCAGTGTGATGCAATGAGAAAAATGATACATTAGTTATTTATGCACCCAGTGTGATCCAATGAGAAAAATGATACAGTAGTTATTTATGCACCCAGTGTGATGCAATGTGAAAAATGATACAGTAGTTATTTATGCACCCAGTGTGATCCAATGAGAAAAATGATACAGTAGTTATTTATGCACCCAGTGTGATGCAATGAGAAAAATGATACAGTAGTTATTTATGCACCCAGTGTGATCCAATGAGAAAAATGATACAGTAGTTATTTATGCACCCAGTGTGATCCAATGAGAAAAATGATACAGTAGTTATTTATGTACCCAGAGTGATCCAATGAGAAAAATGATACAGTAGTTATTTATGTACCCAGTGTGATCCAATGAAAAAAATGATATAGTAGTTATTTATGTACCCAGAGTGATCCAATGAGAAAAATGATATAGTAGTTATTTATGCACCCAGTGTGATCCAATGAAAAAAATGATACAGTAGTTATTTATGCACCCAGTGTGATCCAATGAAAAAAATGATACAGTAGTTATTTATGCACCCAGTGTGATCCAATGAAAAAAATGATACAGTAGTTATTTATGCACCCAGTGTGATCCAATGAGAAAAATGATACAGTAGTTATTTATGCACCCAGTGTGATCCAATGAGAAAAATGATACAGTAGTTATTTATGTACCCAGTGTGATCCAATGAGAAAAATGATACAGTAGTTATTTATGTACCCAGTGTGATCCAATGAGAAAAATGATACAGTAGTTATTTATGCACCCAGTGTGATGCAATGTTTTAATGCATACATCTCTTTGTTCTGGACACTTGGCCATTGACATAGCCCAGAGAAAACGCTTGGAGCGGAGAAAAAGTGGTATGCTAGCAAGACACTATGTGCTGTGTCTAGAGTTGCCTTTCTTGTTGTGATTTGGTTAGTTTTTCACTATTAGCTCTGTTTGGTTCACAATTAGCAGCAACATTGCTTATTTGGTTTATGCTCATTAAAACTGTTCATTGCAAATTATCTGAAAATTTTAATTCAATGAGTTATTTCTATAAACAAAATAAACATGATCAAACATAATCACATAATTGGATCGATCAAATGGAATGTAAAGCTATGGTTCACTTCCACTTCCAGCTGCATGTATTATGATAGGCTGACTTCTCTTACACAGGGGACTGTACCCAGTTTATCCCAACTGACTTCTCTTACACAGGGGACTGTACCCAGTTTAATCCATCTGACTTTACTTACACAGGGGACTGTACCCAGTTTATCCCAGCTGATTTCTCTTACACAGGGGACTGTACCCAGTTTATTCCAACTGGCTTCTCTTACACAGGGGACTGTACCCAGTTTATCCCAACTGACTTCTCTTACACAGGGGACTGTACCCAGTTTATCCCAACTGGCTTCTCTTACACAGTGGACTGTACCCAGTTTATCCCAACTGACTTCTCTTACACAGGGGACTGTACCCAGTTTATCCCAACTGGCTTCTCTTACACAGTGGACTGTACCCAGTTTATCCCAACTGACTTCTCTTACACAGGGGACTGTACCCAGTTGATTATCACAACTGTCCTATTGCAGGCCTACAAGGGTGTTTTAGCCAGACTATCCTACTTAACAGCCAGTATTAAATATTTATGGAACAATTTATCTCCTGGCAGCTTATGGTTACAGTAGGTTATACTTGCAGTAAAAAACCAGTACAAAACAGTTTTAGTGCAACTAAATTCTTTTGTTTTGTTTTCTAGTTTATTTACTGTTGCCCAAGTTTTAATGTAGAAACTAGCAGATTTTTATGTGCATGAGTTCCCCTTGTAAAATAAACATTTTCTACTAGCGTTCTACCTTGATTTATTCCAGTTTTTCTTATTACTGTCTCTAGACCCCATCCTCTTATTGCTATTGTCAGCAGACTCTTATTTTATGTCCTATGTAAATCTGTTTTTTTTAAAGACCAAATAACCTTTTTAAAACAGATCATAAAGCATGGTATGTTGGTGCCTAGATTTGATTTACTTGTTAACAAAACCTTCAAAGAAAAATCTAAAGTCAAAACTAATAAAACTGCAGGATGAATAAAAAAATAAGTTCTATGATTGACACATTTTATTGAAAGAATATGCAATATTATATAATTGATTGAATAGGTGTGGGCCAGGGTGGGGGATACAGATATTTTCAAATTTCTTTAGTAGTGGTGGTGTCATTTTTCTGACATAAATCTAGATCTATCTATTACTTGTTTATAAATCAGATGCAATACGTCTATATAGAAGATCATTTCATGTTCTAACAATAGATGCTTGCTGCCTTGACAAAAATGTTGTCTTGATATCACATTTTCCTTCACTTAAACATTATTTGTTACAATTTTTAAACTCATTGTCTACACGGGATGTACAAGTTTGAGATTGGTCTAAAAAATAGAATACTTCTATAGAGGTTCTGTAATGTGAAGTTAAAAATTCAATTTCTTTAGTAGATGTCATACTGTAGTAGATCTTATCCTTTAGTGGATGTTATACTGTAGTGGATCTCATCCTTTAGTGGATGTCACACTAGTAGATTTCACAAGTGAATACAATTATTAATACAAATGTCACTGGAAAGCTTTAACAAAAAATAATAACAACATAGCATGTCCTGTATTTGCAGCTTAAAAAATAACTTAAAAATAATTTACCTTTGTTGTCTCTGTATAGTCCTACAAAGTGTGAGCTCTAGTATTAGACCTACTGTAGTTTCATTTAATTGTTCCCACTTTATTAAATGGCTCCTTATAGTCCTACAAAGTGTGAGCTCTAGTATTAGACCTACTGTAGTTTCATTTTATTGTTCCCACTTTATTAAATGGCTCCTTATAGTCCTACAAAGTGTGAGCTCTAGTATTAGACCTACTGTAGTTTCATTTTATTGTTCCCACTTTATTAAATGCCTCTACCTCCCCTGCTACTTTACATTAAACCAGGCAAATAAGACAGGTTTTATTGTCTGTTACTGTCCATGGTTTTACCTGGTTATAAAGTTCACTTACCTGAATTATAAACTTCAATTTGATGATGCTACATTCAAATGATTTAAAATATTATCAGTATCTTATAACTCATTAGATTCATGTACATCTGTCATGTTTCTCCCAGCTTTGCTTGAGAAGGAAGATATCCCAACAGATCCACTGAAAAGAACTGGTTGTTTATTTGGAGGGGTGTACAACGACATCAGGCGACGCTACCCGCATTACTTAAGTGACATCAAAGATGCTTTTAATGGCCAGTGTATCAAAACATTATTCTTTATTTTCTTCACGTGTCTTTCACCCTGCATTGCTTTTGGAGGATTGTTGAGTAGGTTCACTTCATGTTTATCTACAGTGGAATCTTGTTAGTCTGTTTCAATGTTGATTTATTGATGAAACCTTAAGCAACATTGGCTTGTTATAATTTACTGATAAGATTCCACTTTATATCTGGTTTAATTTGATTACAGGCTTTATTAATAGCTATAATTATTGCTAAAATGTGAGGGGTCAGCAAGGTCGAGTCCGTAATGCTCATGTTTGCTAAAACCAAATGTCTCAAGTTCAAACCCTTGGGCAGATAAAGCTCGATAGCTGGGGACAGCCACTATTCTTTGAGAGATAACTCTAAAACTGCTGCCTTATAGTTTGTTCTTTGTAGGACAAAGACTATGGAAGCAAATCCAAAAAGAAAAGCAGGCTGAAATCAGAGTCAACAGTCTATATGGTGCATAACCAGTTGACATGTATACTTAATTGTGTTGGAGGGAATCTCTTCCAACACTAAAATTAAGAATGAAGAAGTAGATTGTTAAAATGTGCAGCACATTGTACTGACTACATCCATTCTAGGTGAGAAAACCAACAGTTATATGGGAGTCAGTGAGACCATGTTAGCCACTTCAATTTTTGGGATGATATTTAGTCTCTTCTCTGGTCAGCCCTTGTTGATTATAGGAGCGACTGGACCTGTCCTAGTGTTTGAAGAGAGTTTATATAAGGTGAGAATACCACTCTGTATTTTGTATCATTTTATATAGCCAAAACAACGTTATTGTAAATATATTTGTTATAAAAATATGAGTTATAATGTTGTATTGACATGAACTGTAATCTTTACTGTATTGCTTGTTTTGTTTCCTCTCATCCTTGACAGTTTTGTACATCAAATAGCCTGGAGTTTTTACCACTTAGATTCTGGATTGGGTTGTGGGTCTTTGCCATCACTACACTAGCAGTGGCTCTGGAAGGCAGTTTTCTTGTGCGCTATGTCACCAGATTTGTGGAGGAGATTTTTGCTATTCTCATTTCTCTTATTTTCATCTACGAAGTTGTGAAAAAACTTGTGCAGGTGAGTTATACAGGTGTAAACAGTTTATATTACAACAATTCATACATACAGGTAGTTGGAGACTACAAATCACTTACTTGTTGTGTACCAATGTTATCAAAGCTTATAACACTTTCTTGCTGATGTAAATAAAGGCCAGATAAAAAATATATGAATACAAAAACAAATGACTACTGTAATAACTGAGTTAATTAATTTTAAAAAGTTTGTTTGATTTATGATAAAAAAGATATGAATACAAAAACAAATGACTGCTCTAATAACTGAGTTCCTTAATTTTAAAAAGTTTGTTTGATTTATGATAAAAAATATATAAATACAAAAACAAATGACTGCTGTAATAACTGAGTTCCTTAATTTAAAAAACAAAATTGTTTTAATTTATGACTTTCAGATCTTCTCAGAGAACCCTTTGATGGTAGACTACTGCCAGCACAAGGTCAACAAAACAACCAATGAGACATTTGGTTACAACAGCTCTCTAGAGCAGGCAGAGCAGGGAGACAACTACTCCTATGTATCCATTGAGAGTACCCCCAGCAGCACGCTGGCCCTCTACACAAGTCCCCTCAAGCCAGACCATGAAAAAAACCAACCCAACACAGCCCTCTTGTCACTCATACTTGTCTTTGGAACTTTTCTCATTGCTTATTTTCTTCGTATCTTTCGCAACAGCAAATTTCTTGGAAGAAGTGTAAGTAGCCATTAGTAATAAATAGAAAGGTTTGAACAAGATTTATAATATTAGCTTAGAATTGGACTGATTAAATATTTTTTGAAGGAGATAAATATCTTGTAACTTTATAGGTGTTATTGTATTTTATTAGTTCTGAAACTTTTTTCATATTCATTCTCATTTATTAGTTTTATAGTCAATGAAAACATTTTTGTTTTGTTTTCCTTGTATTGAAAGTTCTGATTTCTTATACATATAGGTAAGACGAGCGTTGGGAGACTTTGGTGTGTTGATTGCTTTAGTTTGTATGGTGATTCTCAGTTTTATTATGAAAGCAACATATGTGCAGGTTTGTATTGTTTGTTAAAGGTTGATGTGTTTATTTTTTATAATGGTCCATTGTGTACGGATGTTTTGTTTGTTGTAAACAAAAGATGTTAACAAGATTTCTGAATGTAAGTCGTTAGGGAAGGATTTCTTTTCATTCACTTCTCATTCCTCCATAATAGTCTTAGATTCGATTTGAACACGTTTATTTAAAACATGTTCCTTACTAAGTACATTTTTTCATTTACATATCATCCTTTACACTATTATAATATTAGTTTACTTTGATTTCCATCAGAAACTTGACATGACAGACCCCCTAGAACCCACATCTCCTGATAAGAGAGGCTGGTTCATCAATCCAATGGGTAGTGACCAACCTATGCCAGTTTGGCTCATCTTTGGATCAGCCTTGCCAGGTTTTCTCATCTTTATCCTGCTCTTTATGGAGACTCAAATCACAGAGTAAGTTCTTTCAGAGCAATCTTCCCTTAAGTTAGCTTGAAATACGTTGTCATTGGTTGAACTGAATTGTTTTCTGTTCTTTCTACTAGAATGATTCTAAACAAGAAAGAGCGCAAGTTAAAAAAAGGCTCAGGCTATCACATAGACCAGCTGATCCTGGGCTTCCTGACATTCCTGGGTGGGTTGTTTGGCCTGCCCTGGATGTGTGCAGCCACTGTGCGTACTGTAGCGCACATCAGTGCACTCAGTGTGTACAGCAGTACTCATGCACCTGGTGAGAAGCCCCAACTGTTGGGGGTCAAGGAACAGCGAGTGACCAACTTTTGTGTGCATTTATTGATTGGTGGGTACTCACTCTCTCTGTTGGCTTCTAATTATCTTCAGGTTGTCGTTTGTCTGAAACTAGCTGATACTAGTTCTAAATTTTCTTTCCTCTAAAAATTATTTTTTTTTCTTAAAAGAAACTATTATTTAGACATTTTTCAATCGACGAAGACCAAATTGAAAATTGTCTGATAATGTATTTTTAAAGAGATAACAATTTTAACATGTGTAACATATTTACCTGTTTTGTATGTAGGATTGTCACTGTTTACTTTTTTATTTAGGTGTGTCAACTATTCACCTGTTTTGTATGTAGGTGTCAAGTATTTATGTATTGTGTATGTAGGTGTCAAGTATTTATGTATTGTGTATGTAGGTGTCAACTATTTATGTATTGTGTATGTAGGTGTCAACTATTTACATATTTTGTATGTAGGTGTCAACTATTTATGTATTGTGTATGTAGGTGTCACTATTTACGTATTGTGTATGTAGGTGTCAACTACTTACGTATTGTGTATGTAGGTGTCAACTATTTACGTATTGTGTATGTAGGTGTCAACTATTTACATATTGTGTATGTAGGTGTCAACTATTTACATATTGTATATGTAGGTGTCAACTATTTATGTATTGTGTATGTAGGTGTCAACTATTTACATATTGTGTATGTAGGTGTCAACTATTTATGTATTGTGTATGTAGGTGTCAACTATTTATGTATTTTGTATGCAGGTGTCAACTATTTATGTATTGTGTATGTAGGTGTCAACTATTTACATATTGTGTATGTAGGTGTCAACTATTTACGTATTGTGTATGTAGGTGTCAACTATTTATGTATTGTGTATGTAGGTGTCAACTATTTACGTATTGTGTATGTAGGTGTCAACTATTTACATATTGTGTATGTAGGTGTCAACTATTTACATATTGTGTATGTAGGTGTCAACTATTTACATATTGTGTATGTAGGTGTCAACTATTTACGTATTGTGTATGTAGGTGTCAACTGTTACGTATTGTGTATGTAGGTGTCAACTATTTACATATTGTATATGTAGGTGTCAACTATTTATGTATTGTGTATGTAGGTGTCAACTATTTACATATTGTGTATGTAGGTGTCAACTATTTACATATTGTGTATGTAGGTGTGTCTGTAGCTGCGGGCCCAGTACTGCGAGAGGTTCCTGTCCCAGCATTGTTTGGTGTGTTTCTGTACCTTGGTGTCTCCACACTCAATGGTGTCCAGATGTTTGAGAGGATCAAGTTGCTTTTTATGCCAGTCAAGTATCATCCATCTGTTGTCTATGTCAGGAAGGTTAGTTTTTTTTTACATCTAGACTTACAGCCAATCTGTTTGATCAGAACATTTATTAAATGTTGCTGTTCATTTAAGAAATTAAATCCAATTTAGGCTATTTACTGTAGACTTTTTAGTTCCTGGACAAAAACCCTGGAAATTAATTTTTTTTTACTTTGGCAACTGATGCGCTAAATTTATTAATTAATAGATTAGCTACAGAAAGTGTTCTTTGTATGCTAAATTTATTAATTAAAAGATTAGCTACAGAAAGTGTTCTTTGTATGAAGTCAATGAATTTTCAGATATTTAGATGGCAACAGCCTGTATTAATCTTATAACTTGTGTGCCAGTCTTCTACTGAACAGAGTTTGTGGTTGACATGTTGCCCTCAGCGTGGATGGACATGTCTCACAAACAAGTGCCAACACTTGATCCTTGACAACCTCCCTAATGTATTAGTCACATGTTGCTTTGATCTAACCTATGAAATTCATGCTCCCTACTCATGACATATAGTAGCTGATGTTGTGCTGAACTAAGGTGTAGTCATAGCTTGCTTTAAGATCAGTTGTTGTATGGAACAAATACAACTTTGCGATGCTAATTAAAAAAAATGAAGATGTTTGTGTCACACAATAAAAAACTATTTGTACATATTCCATGAATGTAACCATTTCCAGGTTCGCACTAGCCAGATGCACAAGTTTACTTTGATTCAACTGGCTTGTCTCATCATCTTGATTGTCATCAAATCTACTGCAGCAGCCCTAGCCTTCCCATTTCTTCTTGTCTTATTGATGCCATTGAGATTAAAGCTTGTCAGTAGATGGTTCAGTAAAGATGAATTGGAGCATGTAAGTATTTTGTTTGTGTCTGTATTTTCTATCTCTGTTATTGCAAAGATGAGTTGAAACATAAAAGTATCTAGTATTACTAGCATTAATGTTATTTGTCAAACCAAAAACTAGAATAATTGCCATGAAATGATGTGACCAATGGGCATGTTCTTATAGTGAATATTTCTGTTACCAGCTTGACATGGAGGAGGAAGACTTTGAGTTGGATGATGAGGATGATCCAGATTTTTACCAACAGGCTCACATGCCTATCTAAGTGGTTTCAGTCATCTCTGGCCGGCTGTAAGCTGCTAGACTTTACAGCTGCTGGACCTATGGCTGCTGGACTTTACAGCTGCTGGACCTATGGCTGCTGGACTTTACAGCTGCTGGAGCTGACTGGAGGAGGTAGAACTGTTGGAGCTTGGATTGAGTTAAAACTGGTTGAGATGATTGACACTATTTATTTGTATTTAACTAGCATCCACCAAGGATGTTACCTTAAAGCAGTTTAGCTGTGATTATTTTTTCACCTTTTCACTACTGCAGGAACATTTGCTTTGCTTTTGGTGTGTTATTGTTTGTGTGGTTTTTTTTTAATAATTTGTTTTCAATGAATTCCATTTCTTTTTTTTAGTCAGAAATTCTGTGATTTTTTTTTTTTGCTTCAATGTATTATTGTTGGATTTCAAAATTAGAAATAATTCTAAAAAAATAAGTGATTAATAATTAATTAATATTAATGTAAATTGTGTTTTTTGGGTTGCATGGAAACTGGCAGTAGTTGCTGAGCTAATGTGTCATGTGGGCATTTCATGTGTGAAGACACATTTTTGTGGAGGATTCTAAAAGAAATATTGGAGGCTGTTGGTGTTAAGTCTGTTTGTAACAAACATTTCTTCTCAGATTTTTGTGTGTGCATCTATTGAGCTGTGAAAATTTCCAAAGAAAAGCTTATGATTGGTGAATAGGTTATATATAGCAACCATCCCAGTGACTCAGTGCTGTGACCTTTGACCTGGTCCCTGGTGGCTAGAGACTCCGTGCTGTAAATAAACACATACATTTTTTACCACTTAAAAGAAAAATGGCATGAAATGTTGTTAAATGTTGCAATTGTTTATTTATTACATGATCTATTTCATTATTTGCTGCTATTGGTTTTATATATGTGTGGAAGATTGGTTTCTCATTTTCTTGTCTCAAAGTTTTGACATAATATGTTGCTTGACAGTTCCTTTGACATAATGTTATGTAAACATTTAAAATGACCGAATACTGCTGTTAGCTGCATAATTAATATATGCAAATGTTGTATTTTCTATCGAATGTTGTCTATAAAATGACTAAAAAACTAAAAAGCATTGGTACCAACCCACCTGTCTTTTGATCACTTGATATTTTAATATATCACAAACGAAATGTTGTTGTTGACTATTCCACACATATGCACAAACAATCATAATAAATGAATGCTAGCATGAATGTTTGGACCCCTGCACCATTGATTAACTTTGTGAGAACCTCTGATCAATTGTAGCCACTTTTGTATTGACACAGCTCACTCTAGCACCATCCTTGTGTACAGGTCTATTGTTTTCTAGTTGTGGGAGGGGGGTATGTAAGAATCTGGACAGTTTAAGTCTCCTGTAGACAAATGGAGGGGACTGTTGTCCATTGACTGGGGTGTGTAGTTGTAATGTCACTTGTAATGTAAGACTGCTATATGATGCCTGTCACAGTCCAGTATGTAGAGCTTTGGACAAGAAACTCAACACATGATTGAATGTTGATTTATATTTTCATTGTTTGGGTCTTCCACTGATGCCAATTTTTGAAGCCACTGTGGCTGTTTGTTTACATTATTGGTCTCATAGGAACATGTACATATCATTATTTATTGTTATATCATCCCATTGACCATTAGAGAAGCTTATTTCTATTTTTATAACTGGGACATTGCAGCCTGTAGCTGATGTGTTGGTGGAGTAGAGAAGTGGCTGTGTTGAGTGTACAGCACTGCTGTGCAGTGTTTGATCCAGTCATGATCTCACACTCTGATGGTCAAACTTCTGCAACACTGGGGGCATCTTGGGAACTTTCTTACTTCACTTTTATTCATGATTTACTCAATTTTTACCTTCACATTTTCTTACCTGGCTCATACAATGTTTTATTCATTTATTTTATATTTGTTTATCTTCATGGAAGGAATGATGAAAAGTATTTTGATTAATTTTAAGGTAATGTTAATGAGTAGCTCAAAATGTATACCCACTTTATTTCATGCTTTGATTTGCTCTAGTTTATTAATATGACAACAAACTAGATGAGACTTAGTGTTTGCTGTTTGATTAGAACTTAGCTCTTGATTATGTTATGTGTGTGATTTTGTCAGCTTGATGTAGACCATCATGTGGGCAGATGGACCCTAGACCATGATGTGGTCATATGGACCCTAGACCATGATAGAGTGATGTGGTCAGATGGGCCTCAGACCATGATTGAGTGATGTGGTCAGATGGGCCTCAGACCATGATTGAGTGATGTGGTCAGATGGACCTCAGACCATGATTGAGTGATGTGGTCAGATGGGCCTCAGACCATGATGTGGTCAGATGGACCTCAGACCATGATGTGGTCAGATGGGCCTCAGACCATGATGTGGTCAGATGGGCCTCAGACCATGATTGAGTGATGTGGTCAGATGGGCCTCAGACCATGATTGAGTGATGTGGTCAGATGGGCCTCAGACCATGATTGAGTGATGTGGTCAGATGGGCCTCAGACCATGATGTGGTCAGATGGACCTCAGACCATGATAGAGTGATGTGGTCAGATGGACCTCAGACCATGATAGAGTGATGTGGTCAGATGGACCTCAGACCATGATAGAGTGATGTGGTCAGATGGACCTCAGACCATGATTGAGTGATGTGGTCAGATGGGCCTCAGACCATGATGTGGTCAGATGGACCTCAGACCATGATAGAGTGATGTGGTCAGATGGACCTCAGACCATGATTGAGTGATGTGGTCAGATGGGCCTCAGACCATGATGTGGTCAGATGGGCCTCAGACCATGATTGAGTGATGTGGTCAGATGGGCCTCAGACCATGATGTGGTCAGATGGACCTCAGACCATGCTGTGGTCAGATGGGCCTCAGACCATGATAGAGTGATGTGGTCAGATGGGCCTCAGACCATGATGTGGTCAGATGGACCTCAGACCATGCTGTGGTCAGATGGGCCTCAGACCATGATAGAGTGATGTGGTCAGATGGGCCTCAGACCATGATAGAGTGATGTGGTCAGATGGGCCTCAGACCATGATAGAGTGATGTGGTCAGATGGACCTCAGACCATGATTGAGTGATGTGGTCAGATGGGCCTCAGACCATGATAGAGTGATGTGGTCAGATGGGCCTCAGACCATGATTGAGTGATGTGGTCAGATGGGCCTCAGACCATGATGTGGTCAGATGGACCTCAGACCATGATTGAGTGATGTGGTCAGATGGACCTCAGACCATGATTGAGTGATGTGGTCAGATGGACCCTAGACCATGATGTGGTCAGATGGACCTCAGACCATGATTGAGTGATGTGGTCAGATGGACCTCAGACCATGATTGAGTGATGTGGTCAGATGGACCCTAGACCATGATTGAGTGATGTGGTCAGATGGACCTCAGACCATGATAGAGTGATGTGGTCAGATGGGCCCTAGATGTAATTATTTAGCAAATCTGGCACCATTTGGGGGACTGGTCAGTGCCTGGTTCTTCCACTCATTGCTTCCATGTATTAGTGTAGCAACTTATCATTAATCAGATAAACATTTTGCTTTTTTAAAAAAAAATAACTTATTACCTAACGGTATTTCCAAATTGTAATCATTATGCTAACACTATTCTAATAGATAGTTCATCTCTTAATAATTGTGCTTGTTTAAATATTGTTTTTTTATATCTTAGCATACGAAGAATCCTAATTTAAACCCAAAATAAATGCTTTGTTTTTTTTTCTTTTGTCTAGTTTATTCTTTCAAATGTAAAAAAGATTGTATGTTAGCATGAGCCCAAATAGTGAACTGAAGTCAACTTATAGAAGTACAATTATTTCTTTCTTTATGTGGTGACAGCATGGCCAACAAATCCAATTGCCACAAGTGGACTCCATTTACTACTCTCAAAAATTGGGAGCCAAAGTGTCAAAGGTATTTTTGACAGGGCCATTTTGTCACCGGCGGTTTTGATGGAACAATCTTGTATTAGACTTCTCTCTACATGCCTGACGTATGGTAGAGATTTAGCTAGGTATGCTACAGACTTAACTGTGTGTTTCAATAACTTTGATATTGGAAGCTGTTTATTTCGTTGCAAGAACAAATTGAATATGAGAAGTAAATACACAACAAAACTTTAAATAATGATGTGAACATTATACGTGTTAGGCCCTACATTGTGTGTGTGTACCTAATGTTTTGTGTGTGTGCCTAATGGTTCATGTGTGTACCTAATGGTTGGTGTGGGTGCCTAATGTTTCGTGTGTGTGCCTAATGGTTGGTGTGTGTACCTAATGGTTGGTTTGTGTGCCGAATGGTTCATGTGTGTACCTAATGGTTGGTGTGTGTGCCTAATGGTTGGTGTGTGTACCTAATGGTTGGTTTGTGTGCCGAATGGTTCATGTGTGTACCTAATGGTTGGTGTGTGTGCCTAATGGTTGGTGTGTGTACCTAATAGTTTTAAGTTCTAGCAAGTGTTGAGAGATGTGTTGCTGAACGAATGTGTTGATAATGTACAGCTCTTTCAACCAACACATTAATCACTGCAAATTAACATCACACTCAAGGCCGCTATCCAAGTGGATAGGTTCTTTCTAATTCAACTTTTGAAGAACAAATGAATTACACAAATCACAACAATAAGCATTTAATCATTGCCCATTAATAAAATATACACAAGACAAGTGGAATAATTTCAGGCATCAGCTGTTAACTGGGAGCTGGCTTAAGTTGTTAAACAAATTTCAATTTCACAATTGGTTCATATTTATTAGAAAGTTGACAAATTAGCTACGCATGAAATAATTAAAAATATATTACTCAAACTAATTTAAATAATAAATTACAAATCATACTTAATAAATGCATTATAATGAGGTAGTGATACAGTTAAATGCCATTTTTATTCAGAGTAAATGAATAATGGGATTTCGTTACTAACACAAAATAATGATTGCTTATTGAAGTGCTAGTTAAACTGATCTCAGCCAAAATTGACTTCACTTTATATTATTACAGGATATAAACCAAGCTAGACTTTTAAAAGTTGTACACCAGATTTGGCCTCATTTTATGACAACAACAAGAATTTGGGCAGACCTGTTCAATTTAGTTGCTCAAAGGATGAACAGTAATTTCAAACCTAACAATTTAAGATCGCAATTGAAAAAAAAAGGAATTGTAAAATTTTGCAGCAATTATTCCACTTATACCTCTTCTGCTTCTGTGCTAGTAAACTGTTTTTTAAGATATAATATAAATGACTAGTTGTCCCCTCCATTCAAAATTAGAAATTAGACAATTATGCTTTACATATTTAGAGGTAGGTCTATAATTTAGTTTGTTAACATAGCTTATAATGTTAAAGACATCCGGTTATTTTTGTCAAGTAATGCTGGTAGGTTTTGATTTTTTGTTTTGGTCAGTTTTCAATCCCAAGTGTTGTTTCATAAAATGTTAACTTAAAACAAAGTGTAAGATGTTAAAGTTGTGTAAAACAAAATCAGGTTTTAAAATCATGCAAGCACTAGTAGTATGTACTGTGATGAATGAATTATGTCCATTTAAAAGACAATTTTAAAAAATTACATTCTAAAATTCTGTCTTTAACTGGAAAGTAAAAATTTAATTTAAAAGGTTACACTAACTACCCTAACAAAATAGTTAATAAAATTGTTCAGAGATTAGTGATGTGATAATGTGAACACTTCAGCTATGCTCCTCTCAAAGTATTGCTAGAAAGGAGAAACTGATGTTTACACAAATACAATTTCAGAGTTTCTTGATTCATAACTTCAGTATACATGAAAAAAAAAAGTCATAGTTTTTTTACTTGGCTAAAATAATTTTTTTTTTAAAGTGAGCTAATTTAAAAAAAAAAAAATTAAATCAAAATGTGCCCAGTGTTTTTAAGTGGGCTTATTTTATATTATAAATTATAGGAAATTTAGTGGCCTACTGTTTTACTGTTTACATATTTAATTGCTTGAATATGAAAATGTCCATTCATCTCAAATTGTGTTGAGCTCTTAAAATTATGCAGATAGACGATATCCACCAAAAGTGTTCTTTCTTTAAACTGAGATATGCCAGATAAAAATTTCCTGAGTTATTTAAAAATGCTAATAAAGAACACACAACTGTGTACATATGAGTATGTTTGGCCTGATTACTAGCAGCTCTGCCTAATAATTTAATGGCGAATTTTTGCTGTGGGCTTAAGTGCAGTCTTCAACCATGGTTTGAATAGAACAAAAGCATTGAAATCAGTAACATATGCTCTCAACATCTATGTGCACTATATCCACATTTTGCTTTAAATAAACAAACTTTTGATCAAGTTTTAAGACACAAGCAAAACAAAGTTCTTGGAAAACCAAATATTAACAATGACACAATATACAATGAAATATAAACACTAAACATAGTAAAAGTTATGAATGGAATTTTCAGCACATGGTGCTTGAATAAATTATCTTACAAACATCAAAACAAAAAAAAATGCTTCATAAAACACGAGGATCACAGCCGTCACCAAAAATATTTCTTGACTTTAAATCATAAATATTTGTATGAGAGAAAGTCTATGTTCTAGTTTATTTATTGTATGATAATTCCATAGCTACATGTATTGACACTAGTATTATTTATTGTCAGATAATTCCTTGCGCTGCAGGTGTATACCCAAGCAGTATGACATGTATGCTTCCTTTGTAAAATATGAGAAATTTGAAGATTACAAATTTTCTGAGATGAGCTTGGAGATAAACTTCACAAACAATACAATTTAATTTAAAGTAAAAAAAGATGATATATCATTTATAAAATCTAACTTATAGTAGAAATTGTAACAATAATTTTTCTTAGTTGAATTTTCAAATATGTTATTGAGATAATTTTGCAGTATGAAACAATATAAATAAACATCACTAAAACAGACATTAAAATTGTAAATTTATACTGGCTGACACATTTGAGGTAGATGTTATTGTAAAACAGCTGATAAAATATGGGTGTTGAATTCATAGAACTTATATAAATTACAGGTTAACATGAGAGAACCTTGACCTTCAAATAAAATATCTTCACCTGACTTGTAAATGTAAGGCTACATGTTGGATTAAACCATGTCAATAAATCTGCATGATAGGGAATGTTTTAATAATTAATTAAATTTGAAATGCAATTAAAGTTTAAACCGTGTTTCTTTAATGCAGTGCAGAAGACATTCAAACAAAGCAAATTGATTAGTTTAAAAACTTAGTTTAAGACTTAACTTGATATTCCAAAATATAAGCTATTTAAAGCTAATTTTATACAGTAAATAAACACACTGAAGTTAACATCGCCCAATGATAAAATTTGGATTACAGTGCACACAATTTTAATTCTAAATCTATATACTAGGCCTATATAATTATATTGAATATTTTTAAATAATTAAAAATAACCCCACCAGACTTTTAATAATATAAATAATATCATATATGACATAATAAATTGTTAAACTAAATAAATAAGACTTAGATCTAGTATAGATATCCTCTTGATTCTAATATTGGACAGGTTTTAGAATTTAGAATAGATTAATTAATAATAATTAATTAATAATTAATCATTCCTACTTATTAGCTAATAAAATTCAACAAATTAATTTAATATCACAGGACAATTAGAAAATGGCGAACAATTTCCATCATGTAGCACAAGACCAGCTGGACATTGGCATCCATGTGAGCACTTGTCTGGACAGGGAGCCTGTGCCGTAGGGTCAACACAGGTTCTTACACACGTCTCATTGCAGTTTATCTTCACCGAGTTCGGTGGGCAGGACTGAACTGCTGGCAAACAAAACAACACCAACAATGTTTTAGTTATTTCCCTTGCTTGTACTTGTGACTAGATTTGTAAAACATGAAATTTTAGGAAAACAACCACAAATTATAAAGAATAGAATAATTATTAAACATATCTTGAACTATAACCTACTATATTTATTAATTTAAACCGATAATTTCTCTTAACCCTCCTCTTGAATTAATGTTTTCAAAATTAAACAAATCAGGGCGAGTAAGAAAATCCTACATAAAACCACAGATAATACAATCTTTAATCATATAGATCTACATGTTTAGTACATGATTTGATTTAGATGTAATGCAAGTTTTAAAATGCCTAGTATGAACCAACCTGCTTTTGCTAATGGGTGCTCACAATCCTTGACCTTGTCCCATTTGATGCTGATGCCTGACCTGGTACACTGACTAATGTAGGCCAGGATGGCCTCACAAGCACAGTAACGACCCGCTGGGCAGTCACACATGTCTGTGATACAGGAGCTGGTACAGATAGTTTACAGTTACAGATAGCTCAAGCCAATCAAAGTATTTTACTCTTACAGATAGTTTACAGTTACAGATAGCTAAAGACACTCACAATATTTTACTGTTACAGATAGCTGAGGCCAATCAAAATATAGCTAACGTCAATCAGAATATCCATAAATGACATCACGCTTTTTTTGCAAGATTTCTACACCCTCCCCTCCCCATCATCGCAAAAAGCCAGAACCCACTCACATTCACACTTCAGCCTACATTCTCCCACAAAATTGCAGGTTTGGTTTTTTACAAACAGAAATTTCTCTCTAAAATATTTTCTGAAATATGTCAACATTGGACACATGAATACATTTTTATTGGTTTACAAAAACGTCTTTTAAAACACGAAATAACTCACTCAATTAACTGACGTCCTCATTAATGAAGTTCGTGTTTCATTATTTTGATTTAATTTTTTTTCTTAGAGACCAACTAATCAGCTGATTAAATAAAAATACAATCTCCCAACAAACAGCCAAAAGATATCACCAATGTTGGGTAATATATGAACAGATTTAAGCGCCAGATCCAAAACATATTCTATGTGCTAAAAGATGGAAACAGACACTACAATTTAATAGCAAAAACCTACACGGTCTTCTGTACATTTTCAGGATTCCTGCGACTAAAATTAGACACCTGTTTTATTTATTTAAAACAATCTTTAGACAAACACAGCGTAACAAACCTGACGTAGATATCCACGCTTATCTGAAGGCGACACTTGGAGAAAGCCTTAGAGAAGAAGATACTACAGATTCTCTGGGCTCTTTGCTTGGCTTTGGAATCCTTGTCACACAGCGGCTTGCTCTCCACGAAGTGGGGCCGCACCTTGCAGGCTTTCTTGCTGCCTGTCCTCCACGTCTGGCCAAAGTCGTGACCATTGGTGTACACGGCCCCGTCTCGACCAATCAGATCGTCTGATTTCATTCCGTTGTAGTTCCCACACAGGCCGCAGAGCTTGTGCTTGTACTTGGTCGGCACCGTGACCTCCAGGAAACTGTCCCCGTCCCACGTGACCACCAGCCCCAGGCTTGACCGGAGCTTGACCAGCGGCCCCTCTCGGACGATGGAGAAGTTGCCGGGCTGGGTGTAGGGCAGTCTGGCGCGGTGCTTGTTCACCTTGACCACAGCGTTCTGCAGCATAGACACGCGCTGCTCGTGGACAAACACCACCAGCATTTGAGTCCAGGCAAAGCCGGAAGAGAACCGGACGCCGTTCCTGACCTTGATGAGAAAATCGTTGCCGGAGCAGTCTTGTGTGAGTACGTACTTGCAGGTGCCCTGGAAGCTGTACATCAGTCCGTCAAATGTGCGGTAGTGGGGGTCACCGAACACAGAGCACACGGCGTCGTCTGGGGAGTAGGAAGTGCTAACTCAATACACCTGGGGCAGCACTCTGACTTAAATACACCTGGGGCAGCACTCTGACTTACGTTCATACACCTGGGGCAGCACTCTGACTTCAATACATCTGGGGCAGCACTCTGACTACAATACACCTGGGGCAGCATTCTGACTTACGTTCAATACACCTGGGGCAGCACTCTGACTTCAATACATCTGGGGCAGCACTCTGACTACAATACACCTGGGGCAGCATTCTGACTTACGTTCAATACTCCTGGGGCAGAACTCTGACTTACGTTCAATACACCTGGGGCAGCACTCTGACTTACGTTCAATACACCTGGGGCAGCACTCTGACACGTTCAATACACCTGGGGCAGCACTCTGACACGTTCAATACACCTGGGGCAGCACTCTGACTTCAATACACCTGGGGCAGCACTCTGACTTCAATACACTTGGGACAGCACTCTGACTTACGTTCAATACATCTGGGGCAGCACTCTGACTTACGTTCAAAATACACCTGGGGCAGCACTCTGACTTCAATACACCTGGGGCAGCACTCTGACACGTTCAATACACCTGGGACAGCACTCTGACACGTTCAATACACCTGGGGCAGCACTCTGACTTACGTTCAATACACCTGGGGCAGCACTCTGACTTACGTTCAATACACCTGGGACAGCACTCTGACACGTTCAATACACCTGGGCAGCACTCTGACTTACGTTCAATACACCTGGGACAGCACTCTGACTTACGTTCAATACACCTGGGACAGCACTCTGACACGTTCAATACACCTGGGACAGCACTCTGACTTCAATACACATGGGGCAGCACTCTGACACGTTCAATACACCTGGGGCAGCACTCTGACTTACGTTCAATACACCAGGGGCAGCACTCTGACTTACGTTCAATACACCTGGGGCAGCACTCTGACTTACGTTCAATACACCTGGGGCAGCACTCTGACTTACGTTCAATACACCTGGGGCAGCACTCTGACTTACGTTCAATACACCTGGGGCAGCACTCTGACTTACGTTCAATACTCCTGGGCAGCACTCTGACTTACGTTCAATACACCAGGGGCAGCACTCTGACTTAAATACACCTGGGGCAGCACTCTGACTTACGTTCAATACACCTGGGGCAGCACTCTGACTTACGTTCAATACTCCTGGGCAGCACTCTGACTTACGTTCAATACACCAGGGGCAGCACTCTGACTTAAATACACCTGGGACAGCACTCTGACACGTTCAATACACCTGGGCAGCACTCTGACTTACGTTCAATACACCTGGGACAGCACTCTGACTTACGTTCAATACACCTGGGACAGCACTCTGACACGTTCAATACACCTGGGACAGCACTCTGACTTCAATACACATGGGGCAGCACTCTGACACGTTCAATACACCTGGGGCAGCACTCTGACTTACGTTCAATACACCAGGGGCAGCACTCTGACTTACGTTCAATACACCTGGGGCAGCACTCTGACTTACGTTCAATACACCTGGGGCAGCACTCTGACTTACGTTCAATACACCTGGGGCAGCACTCTGACTTACGTTCAATACACCTGGGGCAGCACTCTGACTTACGTTCAATACTCCTGGGCAGCACTCTGACTTACGTTCAATACACCAGGGGCAGCACTCTGACTTAAATACACCTGGGGCAGCACTCTGACTTACGTTCAATACACCTGGGGCAGCACTCTGACTTACGTTCAATACACCTGGGCAGCACTCTGACTTACGTTCAATACATCTGGGCAGCACTCTGACTTACGTTCAATACACCAGGGGCAGCACTCTGACTTAAATACACCTGGGGCAGCACTCTGACTTACGTTCAATACACCTGGGGCAGCACTCTGACTTAAATACACCTGGGGCAGCACTCTGACTTACGTTCAATACACCTGGGGCAGCACTCTGACTTACGTTCAATACACCTGGGGCAGCACTCTGACTTCAATACACATGGGGCAGCATTCTGACTTACGTTCAATACACCTGGGACAGCACTCTGACTTCAATACACCTGGGGCAGCATTCTGACTTACGTTCAATAACCTGGGCAGCACTCTGACTTACGTTCAATACACCTGGGCAGCACTCTGACTTACGTTCAATACACCAGGGGCAGCACTCTGACTTAAATACACCTGGGGCAGCACTCTGACTTACGTTCAATACACCTGGGCAGCACTCTGACTTACGTTCAATAACCTGGGCAGCACTCTGACTTACGTTCAATACTCCTGGGCAGCACTCTGACTTACGTTCAATACACCAGGGGCAGCACTCTGACTTAAATACACCTGGGGCAGCACTCTGACTTACGTTCAATACACCTGGGGCAGCACTCTGACTTACGTTCAATACACCTGGGCAGCACTCTGACTTACGTTCAATACACCTGGGCAGCACTCTGACTTACGTTCAATACACCAGGGGCAGCACTCTGACTTAAATACACCTGGGGCAGCACTCTGACTTACGTTCAATACACCTGGGGCAGCACTCTGACTTAAATACACCTGGGGCAGCACTCTGACTTACGTTCAATACACCTGGGCAGCACTCTGACTTAAATACACCTGGGGCAGCACTCTGACTTACGTTCAATACACCTGGGGCAGCACTCTGACTTACGTTCAATACACCTGGGGCAGCACTCGTCCTCTGCCAGCAAGAGCTTGTAGCCCTGGGGACACCATAGCGAGTTGCTGCACCTTTCCCTCTGGCAGTACGTGGTGCCGTTATCACAGGAGCACTGCATGCAGACGTTCGGCTTCCACTCCTCCTTGTGCTGGAAGATAGTGTGGGGCTCACTCAATAAAGGCTGAGTACTTTTAACTAAGCGAATGTTATTGGCACAAAAGACTATGTAACAGTTTTAACTGTCTGATGTTCTAGCACTGTCTCTACTTATGAGCTTGTGAAACCTCTCAGTTTTATTATAAAAAGTTTACAGGTATTCACTCATTAACGCCCCTACCTCCGCTTTGACTCTTGATCAATGCTTCCCTATTCTGTACTTTCAAATCATAGTCATTCAGTTACTCCCTTGTACATAACGCCCCGGAAATTGCCGTTAAATACCTTGTACATAACGCCCTGGAAATTGCCGTTAAATACCTTGTACATAACGCCATGGAAATTGCCGTTAATTATCTTGTACATAACGCCCTGGAAATTGCCGTTAAATGCCTTGTACATAACGCCCCGGAAATTGCCGTTAAATACCTTGTACATAACGCCATGGAAATTGCCGTTAATTATCTTGTACATAACGCCCTGGAAATTGCCGTTAAATGCCTTGTACATAACGCCCTGGAAATTGCCGTTAAATACCTTGTACATAACGCCCTGGAAATTGCCGTTAAATACCTTGTACATAACGCCCTGGAAATTGCAGTCTTTCTTCTCACGGCATCTCTGGCAGCACTTAGAGCCTGGCTGGGGGATCCTGTCCTGCTCGCCACAGTCCAGGGGTGGACACGTGACCACCTGACACACGGAGGTTCTGGTCTGGTGACGTCAACAAGGTGAAGGTTACACGATAGATCAAAACATGACCTCAATGTCAGGACAACATCAACACATCATAAGTGGGAGTGGGACAACATCAACTCATCACAAGTGGGACAATATCAACACATCATAAATGGGACAACATCAACACATCATAAATGGGACAACATCAACACATCATAAGTGGGACAACATATGTGGGACAACATCAACACATCATATGTAGAACAACATCAACACATCATAAGTGGGACAACATATGTGGGACAACATCAACACATCATATGTAGAACAACATCAACACACCATAAGTGGGACAACATCAACACATCATATGTAGAACAACATCAACTCATAATAAGTGGGACAACATCAACACACCATAAGTGGGACAACATAAGTGGGACAACATCAAGATATCATAAGTGGGACAACATCATGATCCATACTGAGGACGTTAACAAGCTGCACCAAGCTCGCCCCTACCTTACACCGACATCTAGAACATTCTGTTGGCGCGAAGGTTTCGTTTTTCTTGTAGACGCGTGTGACGAAGAAACAACCTTTCTTGACATCATACAGGGACCGTGTACCTAACAAATCAATTTAGGCATCAAAGTCACACATCTTATAACAACGTTACACACGGACAAAGAATAACACAACGTCACAAAAAAGCGTCGAGCTATGTGCTATAGTCTCAACCGGAACACCACTAACAAAATTGTTCAGCTCAACGAACATGGGAACCGGCAAATGTACTGGGCTTATAGGAAGACAATTATCTTGGAGTCAAGGAACACATATACAAGGAACATGTACACACGGAATATGTAAAAAAAAAAAACAACAAATTGAACATGAAGGCAACGAACCTTTACACTTGGGGCAACATTCAGCCTTAGGCTGGTAGACAAACTCTGGTTTACAGTTGAGGACGGGACAAGCCTGGCGCTGGCACTCGATAGTTCCTTGCTGGGGGAAGTCAGAGAAACGTCAGGTAAGTCTGGTCTGTCAGGTGTACATACAGGTAAGTCTGGCCTGTCAGGTGTACATACAGGTAAGTCTGGTCTGTCAGGTGTACATACAGGTAAGTCTGGTGTGTCAGGTGTACATACAGGTAAGTCTGGTCTGTCAGGTGTACATACAGGTAAGTCTCGTCTGTCAGTTCTAGACGAGAAATTCACGTCTAGAACAGAGACTCACGTCTAGACATACGTCTACACCAGAGACACGTGTAGACCACGGACACGTCTAGACCAGAGACTCACGTCTAGACCAGAGACTCACGTCTAGACCAGAGACTCACGTCTAGACCAGACACTCACGTCTAGACCAGAGACTCACGTCTAGACCAGAGACTCACGTCTAGACCAAACTCGTGTCTAGACCAGAGACTCACGTCTAGACCAGAGACTCACGTCTAGACCAGACACTCACGTCTAGACCAGAGACTCACGTCTAGACCAGAGACTCACGTCTAGACCAAACTCGTGTCTAGACCAGAGACTCACGTCTAGACCAGAGACTCACGTCTAGACCAGAGACTCACGTCTAGACCAGACACTCACGTCTAGACCAGACACTCACGTCTAGACCAGAGACTCACGTCTAGACCAGAGACTCACGTCTAGACCAAACTCGTGTCTAGACCAGACACTCACGTCTAGACCAGAGACTCACGTCTAGACCAGAGACTCACGTCTAGACCAGACACTCACGTCTAGACCAGACACTCACGTCTAGACCAGAGACTCACGTCTAGACCAGAGACTCACGTCTAGACCAAACTCGTGTCTAGACCAGACACTCACGTCTAGACCAGACACTCACGTCTAGACCAGAGACTCACGTCTAGACCAGAGACTCACGTCTAGACCAGACACTCACGTCTAGACCAAACTCGTGTCTAGACCAGAGACTCACGTCTAGACCAGACACTCACGTCTAGACCAGACACTCACGTCTAGACCAGAGACACGTCTAGACCAGACACTCACGTCTAGACCAGAGACTCACGTCTAGACCAGAGACTCACGTCTAGACCAGAGACTCACGTCTAGACAAGACACTCACGTCTAGACCAGACACTCACGTCTAGACCAGAGACTCACGTCTAGACCAGAGATTCACGTCTAGACCAGACACTTACGTCTAGACCAGCGTCTAGACCAAACTCATATCTAGAGTACACACTTACGTCTAGAGCAGAGACCTACGAGTTGTGTAGATTCTTGTCAAATGACCGAGGTTTACAGTAGGGAACAAACTTATAAAAACTCACCTTGCACGTGCATCTTGTGCACGGGTCTGAAGTGAGTCGAAAGGTTTCTGTCTCGTTATACATCTGTCCACGAAAATAACAGCCTGAAAAAAAAAATTAGTGGACAAATGGGTTACAAACAGTGTTTAGATAGCCAGGTGGGTAGGATAGAATGGTTAGATATAATGGTGTAGATAAGTGTAGCTGACAGGGAAGTAAACAAAAGAATCTGATCAAAAGGTGACTCACCTTGACATACTGGACAGCACTGGCCAGGTACAGACACGGCATTGTAACACGGAGTGAAGCACTGGACTTTAGAGATGGTGACAACACCAGCCTATGACATAAACATTAGAGAAGGTGACAACACCAGCCTATAACATAAACATTAGAGAAGGTGACAACACCAGCCTATAACATAAACATTAGAGATGGTGACAACACCAGCCTATAACATAAACATTGGAATTTAGAGATGGTGACAACACCAGTCTATAACATAAACATTGGACTTTAGAGATGGTGACAACACCAGCCTATAACATAAACATTAGAGATGGTGACAACACCAGCCTATAACATAAACATTGGACTTTAGAGATGGTGACAACACCAGCCTATAACATAAACATTGGACTTTAGAGATGGTGACAACACCAGCCTAAAACATAAACAAATAACTTTAGAGATGGTGACAACACCAGTCTATAACATAAACATTGGACTTTAGAGATGGTGACAACACCAGTCTATAACATAAACATTAGAGATGGTGACAACACCAGCCTATAACATAAACTTTAGAGATGGTGACAACACCAGTCTATAACATAAACATTGGACTTTAGAGATGGTGACAACACCAGCCTATAACATAAACATTGGACTTTAGAGATGGTGACAACACCAGCCTATAACATAAACATTGGACTTTAGAGATGGTGACAACAACAGCCTAAAACATAAACAAATAACTTTAGAGATGGTGACAACACCAGTCTATAACATAAACATTGGACTTTAGAGATGGTGACAACACCAGTCTATAACATAAACATTAGAGATGGTGACAACACCAGCCTATAACATAAACTTTAGAGATGGTGACAACACCAGTCTATAACATAAACATTGGACTTTAGAGATGGTGACAACACCAGCCTATAACATAAACATTGGACTTTAGAGATGGTGACAACACCAGCCTATAACATAAACATTGGACTTTAGAGATGGTGACAACACCAGCCTAAAACATAAACAAATAACTTTAGAGATGGTGACAACACCAGTCTATAACATAAACATTGGACTTTAGAGATGGTGACAACACCAGTCTATAACATAAACATTAGAGATGGTGACAACACCAGCCTATAACATAAACTTTAGAGATGGTGACAACACCAGTCTATAACATAAACATTGAACTTTAGAGATGGTGACAACACCAGCCTATAACATAAACATTAGAGATGGTGACAACACCAGCCTATAACATAAACATTGGACTTTAGAGATGGTGACAACACCAGCCTATAACATAAACATTGGAGATGGTGACAACACCAGCCTATAACATAAACATTGGGCGGACACTGTTAAAAGTATATATTTTCTACATAAATTATTTAAATTTCATTTCGTTTGGGGGGGGGGGGCGGTAAAAATTTGCCCCCCCCCCCCCCCGAAGAGATGCCTGGAAGAAACTCTGATCATTGGAGATGGCAAAATCTTTCTCTAGCAGACGATTGTAAATGGCGGTGTATTTCCCTGACAGAATAGAGGTGAAAGCAATGTCTTTCTCTAGCAGACGATGTGATGGCAATTCTTTCTGTAGCAGACGAATCACGTGACTGAGCGACGCCGACCGGACGACAGGAAATGTTTACAGATGGTGCGCAGCGCGCTACCATCCGGGCACTTGAGAGCAGAGCAGACCCGAGAATGGTTCAAGTGGTGACGCGCGCCGTGCGTATTTGGTTTCAGCGGCGGTGTTTGGGCGATAGGGTCGTGTTTGGGCTAGCAGACCCAGCCTAGCCGCAGTCGTCCTGTTTGTGGTGGGCTTGGCACGGTTTTGGAAGTCAACTGGGAATTCTTTAGGCGAATGTTTAGAAATTAAAATCGTTTGTTTGATGGCAAACATCTTAGAAGATTTGTATTGTGGTCTAAGGGAGTGACGTATTGCTTCTAAGGAGACGCCGCTCTAAACGTTGGCAAGTGTGGTGATTTAGTTAAACTAACGGAGCTTAGCTTTTAAGTAGTTCAGATGGTGACTTTATTCAACTGAAGCATACACATTTGATTAAGTAGTTCAGAATGTGACTTCATTCAATGGTAGCATACACATTTGATGGTTAAGTAGTTAAGATGGTGATCAGTTTCTGGCGTCAGCATACCAATGTCCAGCTTCTTGTGACAGCCCCCCCCCCCCCCAATGTCCAAAGTTGTATGTCACCCTCCCAATGTTCACTCAGACTCTGTGCCCTTGGATCCATGTTAAAGCGCAAGAGGCGAATTAGGGCAGGCGGAGTAGAGTTTGCCGACAACTAGTACCACAACTTACCTCACAAATATATTTTTGACACGGATCCTTGAGGTCTGTCCAGGTGTCGCCACTGTTGTACTTCTTCTTCCTGTATATACAGCCTGGGGGAGGGGGGGGGGGGCAGAGAGAGAGACAATAGAGTGTGTTACTGTTGAAAGGTGCGGGGAGTTCAGAAGATAAATATGATATTTGGTGGCATAATGAACTCCTTACCTTTGCATACCTTACAGCATTTATTGTGGCATAATGAACTCCTTACCTTTGCATACCTTACAGCATTTATTGTGGCATAATGAACTCCTTACCTTTGCATACCTTACAGCATTTATTGTGGCATAATGAACTCCTTACCTTTGAACGCCTTACAACATTTATTGTGGCATAAAGAACTCCTTAACAACATTTATTGTGGCATAATGAACTCCTTACCTTTGCATACCTTGCAGCATTTATTGTGGCATAATGAAAGCCTTACCTTTGCATACCTTACAGCATTTATTGTGGCATAATGAAAGCCTTACCTTTGCATACCTTGCAGCATTTATTGTGGCATAATGAAAGCCTTACCTTTGCATACCTTACAGCATTTATTGTGGCATAATGAACTCCTTACCTTTGCACGCCTTACAACATTTATTGTGGCATAAAGAACTCCTTAACAACATTTATTGTGGCATAATGAACTCCTTACCTTTGCATACCTTGCAGCATTTATTGTGGCATAATGAAAGTCTTGGTGTGGTACACGTCATGTGTGGTGTGGTACACGTCATGTGTGGTGTGGTACACGTCATGTGTGGTGTGGTACACGTCATGTGTGGTGTGATGTGGTACACGTCATGTGTGGTGTGGTACACGTCATGTGTGGTGTGGTACACGTCATGTGTGGTGTGGTACACGTCATGTGTGGTGTGGTACACGTCATGTGTGGTGTGATGTGGTACACGTCATGTGTGGTGTGGTGTGGTACACGTCATGTGTGGTGTGGTACACGTCATGTGTGGTGCGGTGTGGTAGACGTCATGTGTGGTGTGGTACACGTCATGTGTGGTGTGATGTGGTACACGTCATGTGTGGTGTGGTGTGGTACACGTCATGTGTGGTGAGGTACACGTCATGTGGGGTGTGGTGCGGTACACGTCATGTGTGGTGTGGTGTGGTACACGTCATGTGTGGTGTGGTGTGGTACACGTCATGTGTGGTGTGGTGTGGTACACGTCATGTGTGGTGAGGTACACGTCATGTGTGGTGCGGTACACGTCATGTGTGGTGTGGTGTGGTACACGTCATGTGTGGTGTGGTACACGTCATGTGTGGTGTGATGTGGTATACGTCATGTGTGGTGTGGTGTGGTACACGTCATGTGTGGTGTGGTGTGGTACACGTCATGTGTGGTGTGGTACACGTCATGTGTGGTGTGATGTGGTACACGTCATGTGGGGTGTGGTGTGGTACACGTCATGTGTGGTGTGGTACACGTCATGTGTGGTGTGATGTGGTACACGTCATGTGTGGTGTGGTACACGTCATGTGTGGTGTGGTGTGGTACACGTCATGTGTGGTGTGATGTGGTACACGTCATGTGTGGTGTGGTACACGTCATGTGTGGTGTGGTACACGTCATGTGGGGTGTGGTGCGGTACACGTCATGTGTGGTGTGGTGTGGTACACGTCATGTGTGGTGTGGTACACGTCATGTGTGGTGTGGTACACGTCATGTGTGGTGTGATGTGGTACACGTCATGTGTGGTGTGGTGCGGTACACGTCATGTGTGGTGTGGTGTGGTACACGTCATGTGTGGTGTGGTGTGGTACACGTCATGTGTGGTGTGGTGTGGTACACGTCATGTGTGGTGTGGTACACGTGATGTGTGGTGTGATGTGGTACACGTCATGTGGGGTGTGGTGTGGTACACGTCATGTGTGGTGTGGTACACGTCATGTGTGGTGTGATGTGGTACACGTCATGTGTGGTGTGGTACACGTCATGTGTGGTGTGGTGTGGTACACGTCATGTGTGGTGTGGTACACGTCATGTGTGGTGTGGTACACGTCATGTGTGGTGTGATGTGGTACACGTCATGTGTGGTGTGGTACACGTCATGTGTGGTGTGGTACACGTCATGTGTGGTGTGGTACACGTCATGTGGGGTGTGGTGCGGTACACGTCATGTGTGGTGTGGTGTGGTACACGTCATGTGTGGTGTGGTACACGTCATGTGTGGTGTGGTACACGTCATGTGTGGTGTGATGTGGTACACGTCATGTGTGGTGTGGTGCGGTACACGTCATGTGTGGTGTGGTGTGGTACACGTCATGTGTGATGTGGTGTGGTACACGTCATGTGTGGTGTGGTGTGGTACACGTCATGTGTGGTGAGGTACACGTCATGTGTGGTGCGGTACACGTCATGTGTGGTGTGGTGTGGTACACGTCATGTGTGGTGTGGTGTGGTACACGTCATGTGTGGTGTGGTGTGGTACACGTCATGTGTGGTGTGGTACACGTCATGTGTGGTGTGGTACACGTCATGTGTGGTGTGGTGTGGTACACGTCATGTGTGGTGTGGTACACGTCATGTGTGGTGTGATGTGGTACACGTCATGTGTGGTGTGGTGTGGTACACGTCATGTGTGATGTGGTACACGTCATGTGTGGTGCGGTACACGTCATGTGTGGTGTGGTGTGGTACACGTCATGTGTGGTGTGGTACACGTCATGTGTGGTGTGGTGTGGTACACGTCATGTGTGGTGTGGTGTGGTACCTTGCAGCATTTATTGTGGCATAATGAAAGCCTTACCTTTGCATACCTTACAGCATTTATTGTGGCATAATGAAAGCCTTACCTTTGCATACCTTACAGCATTTATTGTGGCATAATGAAAGCCTTACCTTTGCATACCTTGCAGCATTTATTGTGGCATAATGAACTCCTTACCTTTGCATACCTTACAGCATTTATTGTGGCATAATGAACTCCTTACCTTTGCATACCTTACAGCATTTATTGTGGCATAATGAACTCCTTACCTTTGCATACCTTACAGCATTTATTGTGGCATAATGAACTCCTTACCTGTGCATACCTTGCAGCATTTATTGTGGCATAATGAAAGCCTTACCTTTGCATACCTTACAGCATTTATTGTGGCATAATGAAAGCCTTACCTTTGCATACCTTACAGCATTTATTAGGGTGGTCATAGAGTATCACGTGACATCCCTCCACACCACGACAAAGTCTGGCATCGCACGGTTCAGTCTCACCAGTCAACACGCCATTGCCACAGTTGACTGAGTCGCAGTCCACGCGACCGTCCTGAAAGGTTCAACTCACTCGTTAGGCAGGTTAAGGTTAACAGATATACTCCAGCAGGAAGGTTATATTTAAGGGTAACAGATATACTCCACAAACTGGCGTAGTTGTAGACTTGCCTAAATGTGTGGGGAACAGAAAGGACTACACGTGTGGTACACGTCATGTGTGGTGTGGTACACGTCATGTGTGGTGTGGAATACGTCATGTGTGGTGTGGTACACGTCGTGTGTGGTGTGGAATACGTCATGTGTGGTGTGGAATACGTCATGTGTGGTGTGGTGTGGTACACGTCATGTGTGGTGTGGTGTGGTACACGTCATGTGTGGTGTGGTGTGGTACACGTCATGTGTGGTGTGGTGTGGTACACGTCATGTGTAGTGTGGTACACGTCATGTGTGGTGTGGTACACGTCATGTGTGGTGTGGTGTGGTACACGTCATGTGTGGTGTGGTACACGTCATGTGTGGTGTGGTGTGGTACACGTCATGTGTGGTGTGGTACACGTCATGTGTGGTGTGGTACACGTCATGTGTGGTGTGGTGTGGTACACGTCATGTGTGGTGTGGTGTGGTACACGTCATGTGTGGTGTGGTGTGGTACACGTCATGTGTGGTGTTGTGTGGTACACGTCATGTGTGGTGTGGTACACGTCATGTGTAGTGTGGTACACGTCATGTGTGGTGTGGTGTGGTACACGTCATGTGTGGTGTGGTGTGGTACACGTCATGTGTGGTGTGGTACACGTCATGTGTAGTGTGGTACACGTCATGTGTGGTGTGGTGTGGTACACGTCATGTGTGGTGTGGTACACGTCATGTGTGGTGTGGTACACGTCATGTGTGGTGTGGTGTGGTACACGTCATGTGTGGTGTGGTACACGTCATGTGTGGTGTGGTACACGTCATGTGTGGTGTGGTGTGGTACACGTCATGTGTGGTGTGGTGTGGTACACGTCATGTGTGGTGTGGTGTGGTACACGTCATGTGTGGTGTGGTGTGGTACACGTCATGTGTGGTGTGGTACACGTCATGTGTGGTGTGGTGTGGTACACGTCATGTGTGGTGTGGTACACGTCATGTGTGGTGTGGTACACGTCATGTGTGGTGTGGTGTGGTACACGTCATGTGTGGTGTGGTGTGGTACACGTCATGTGTGGTGTGATGTGGTACACGTCATGTGTGGTGTGATGTGGTACACGTCATGTGTGGTGTGGTGTGGTACACGTCATGTGTGGTGTGGTACACGTCATGTGTGGTGTGGTGTGGTACACGTCATGTGTGGTGTGGTGTGGTACGCGTCATGTGTGGTGTGGTGTGGTACACGTCATGTGTGGTGTGGTGTGGTACACGTCATGTGTGGTGTGGTACACGTCATGTGTGGTGTGGTGTGGTACACGTCATGTGTGGTGTGGTACACGTCATGTGTGGTGTGGTGTGGTACGCGTCATGTGTGGTGTGGTGTGGTACACGTCATGTGTGGTGTGGTGTGGTACACGTCATGTGTGGTGTGGTACACGTCATGTGTGGTGTGGTGTGGTACACGTCATGTGTGGTGTGGTACACGTCATGTGTGGTGTGGTACACGTCATGTGTGGTGTGGTGTGGTACACGTCATGTGTGGTGTGGTACACGTCATGTGTGGTGTGGTACACGTCATGTGTCGTGTGGTACACGTCATGTGTGGTGTGGTACACGTCATGTGTGGTGTGGTACACGTCATGTGTGGTGTGGTGTGGTGTGGTACAAGTCATGTGTGGTGTGGTACACGTCATGTGTGGTGTGGTACACCTCATGTGTGGTGTGGTGTGGTGTGGTACACGTCATGTGTCGTGTGGTACACGTCATGTGTGGTGTGGTACACGTCATGTGTGGCCTATGCCCCCGGCTACTGATGTTAAATCAAGTCTGTTCTGGTCAATAAAAACGTCTTAACCAAGGGAAACAATTCAACGAAACAAATCTCACATTTATGGCGCGAATAATTTTTATGTCCCGACTCTCCGTGTAGCTATGGTAGAGGTAGAAGGGGGGGGGGGGGCATTTATTCTTTAAAAATCGTTACATTTAAGAATATCTGTTCTATTCATATGATGCATTTTTTTAACGTGCGGTAAAATAAATAGCTTTTTTGTCTTGCTAAACGTTGTAGGCATCAAATAGGAAAAGGATGTTTCCAATTCTCTACAGTACAAACTGTTGTTTTTCTTTTGAAGGCCGGTTTATGTTCAGTAGAAATTGTAAAATTGGGTCTTATTTGGTAGATAACAACAGGAATTATTTTTGTTTTGGCTAGTCTACTGTTCAGTGTTTCTTCCAGACTTTTTTCTCCGGGGGGGGGGGGGGGGGGGGCACTTGAAATTTTCGGGGGGACGGTAGACTTTCTTTGGGGGGAAGGGGAGGGGGGCGGACACTGTTAAAAGTATATATTTTCTATATGCCTGGAAAAAACTCTGCCACTGTTGTAGGGCCAGTTCCATGTTCTAGGGACAGTCCAGAGCAAACCAAGCAATGATGGGTCTATCTATACATAATGATGGGTTCATCTATACTATACATAATGATGGGTCCATATATACATAATGCTGGGTTCATCTATATATAATGTTGTGTCCTTCTACGGTGGCATGATGACTGTAGGAAAAAAGTCACAGAAAGAAAGTCACATGAAAAGAAAGTCACATCGAAAAAATGTCACACTTTTTGTGTGATATATATTTTGGTGTGCGGTGTGTGTTGGGGGGGGGGGATGAATTGGAGGGGGCAAGAGGAGAGAAATCAAGCAGCATGTCTGATAGATGATTCTTCCCTCAGTAACCCCAAGTTGTCTTACATGAATTATTTATTTGAACAATCGCGTGCTCAGCGTTCAGTAATGCAGTGAGTACGTCACAGGCAAACTAGCTCATTGAGTTGCATTATTTCTCTCGGTGGGGTGTGGTTGGGGTGAGGGGAGAGTGACAATCAAGAGCACTACCGATGTTTTAGTAAATAGTTCAGATGTCGACAGGTCAAATATAAAATTGCACTCTTCTTTAGATTGAGTTACCAGCTCCCTTAAATGATCGAATTTGTCAAATTTACGTACTGTACATACAATCTCCAGTCCGCTATTTTCTTATTCTGGTAATTTTAGCAATAGTATCTGTGCAATAGAACCGTTAGTCTTTAAACTGAGAAGTTTTATCCATACACTAACAGTTATCAAGTAAACAGCCCACGATTTAGTGAATGCTGTAATTTTAAGCTCACGTTGCTAAGCTCCTCCTATTGACGGCTTTGGGAGCTACTAGTTTACAACATCATTTTAAGCTCTCCTAAAACCTGCTGATGATACGGCGTTACGGGGATGAGGAGAGAAGGCCGGTAATCCAGCAACACACACATCAGAAGGACAGGCAGGGGCGATAATCAGGTGAGGTCTCATTTGGTCAGGGAAGGTTTGTTTGTCTACCGCTCTCAGGGGGATCAACTCGGTACGGCGACAGGCTTTAGAACGGCGATCATAAACTAACGGCGGTTTCAAGATGGCGGACACGTCAAATGTCATCTGTTTGTCGGAAGTCCCGCCGTATGCAGACATGCGCCGTCTACATACATGTGCCGTCTAGAGATATGTGCCGTCTAGAGACATACGCTGTGTAGAGACATACGCCGTCTATAGACATACGCCGTCTAGAGACATACGCCGTCTATAGACATACGCCGTCTAGAGACATACGCCGTCTAGAGACATACGCCATCTATAGACATACGCCGTCTAGAGACATACGCCGTCTAGAGACATACGCCGTCTAGAGACATACGCCGTCTACAGACATACGCCGTCTAGAGACATACGCCGTCTATAGACATACGCCGTCTAGAGACATACGCCGTCTATAGACATACGCCGTCTAGAGACATACGCCGTCTAGAGACATACGCCATCTATAGACATACGCCGTCTAGAGACATTCGCCGTCTATAGACATACGCCGTCTAGAGACATACGCCGTCTATAGACATACGCCGTCTATAGACATACGCCGTCTAGAGACATACGCCGTCTATAGACATACGCCGTCTAGAGACATACGCCGTCTAGAGACATACGCCATCTATAGACATACGCCGTCTAGAGACATACGCCATCTATAGACATACGCCGTCTAGAGACATACGCCGTCTAGAGACATACGCCATCTATAGACATACGCCGTCTAGAGACATACGCCATCTATAGACATACGCCGTCTAGAGACATACGCCATCTATAGACATACGCCGTCTAGAGACATACGCCATCTATAGACATACGCCGTCTAGAGACATACGCCATCTATAGACATACGCCGTCTAGAGACATACGCCATCTATAGACATACGCCGTCTAGAGACATACGCCGTCTAGAGACATACGCCGTCTAGAGACATACGCCAGCTAGAAAGACTACATTATGTGGTTTGTGCTATTGTATATGTATTAATAGTACTTATATGTGTTTTGTTTAGCAGAACAAGTGTAATACACATTGAAAAAAAAAAAGAAAAATTCCATTTCAAACAATTTGTATAGTATAAGTTGGGTTTATTTACACTAAAAATATTGGGTTCAATAATTGCAGTCTACTCTTCTTGTCAAGATATTTCTTCACAGCTGAATTTTTTTTACTGGGGGGGGGGGTGGTCTAATTATATCCGTCCCTAGTACATTATAATAAATTAAATTTGAACTAATTGATCGGGCTAGCAGTACGGCGAGACCCCTGCACTTGATCGAACGTTTAGCGAAGGGAAAAAAACGATCTATATAAACTGTTGTTGCTGTAATTATCTCCCTTTATTAAACTCTTCCAACTTCCAACCATGAATAAAGTTATTGCGTCGAGACCGATCAAGGGAAATAATCTGTTGTGTTCAAACAGAGTTGAATTATGTCCCCTGCCCGTCTATGCCGACATTGGCGCGCCGTGCGGGCACACCCAGACACGCCGGTCTACATAGGGTTGGTCGCCGGTCTACGGTCGTCGGTCTACACAAGGTTGGTCGCCGATCTTCACAAGGTTGGTCGCGGGTCCATCAATATCATCATTGAGTTGTGTCCTTTGGTTTAGTCACGCCAATCATGAGTTGTGTCCCTTGGCTTAGTCACGTCAATCATGAGTTGTGCCCCTTCTCCCTTCGTTTAGTCTCGCTGAGTTGTGTCCCTTAGTTTAGTCACGTCAATCATGAGTTGTGTCCCTTGGCTTAGTCACGTCAATCATGAGTTGTGCCCCTTCTCCCTTCGTTTAGTCTCGCTGAGTTGTGTCCCTTAGTTTAGTCACGTCAATCATGAGTTGTGTCCCTTCTCCCTTCGTTTAGTCTCGCTGAGTTGTGTCCCTTAGTTTAGTCACGTCAATCATGAGTTGTGTCCCTTCTCCCTTCGTTTAGTCTCGATGAGTTGTGTCCCTTAGTTTAGTCACGTCAATCATGAGTTGTGTCCCTTAGTTTAGTCGCACCAAACAAGAAACACTAGAGAATACAGGGCTGTGACTAGAGAATACAGGGCTGTGACTTACCTTACACCTACAGGTACAGCGGTTGCTAGAGATACCAGGGACGTGGATGATCTCCCCTTCCATGTTACAGCTGGGTTCTGTTCCTGTAGACACAAGAATAGTGGTCAGTTGTGGTCTGTTGTGGTCAGGTGTGGTCATGTGTGGTCATGTGTGGTCAGTTGTGGTCAGTTGTGGTCAGGTGTGGTCAGTTGTGGTCAGTTGTGGTCAGTTGTTATGGGTTGTTGTTGGTTGTTGTTGGTTGTAGTCAGTTGTGGTCAGTTGTGGTCAGGTGTGGTCAGTTGTGGTCAGTTGTGGTCAGTTGTGGTCAGTTGTGGTCAGGTGTGGTCAGTTGTGGTCAGTTGTGGTCAGTTGTTGTCAGTTGTTGTCAGTTGTCGTCAGTTGTCGTCAGGTGTGGTCAGGTGTGGTCAGGTGTGGTCAGTTGTGGTCAGTTGTGGTCAGTTGTGGTCAGTTGTGGTCAGGTGTGGTCAGGTGTGGTCAGGTGTGGTCAGTTGTGGTCAGTTGTGGTCAGGTGAAGTGGTCAAGTTAAAGCTGATGCCAAAAGGAGATGGGAAATGATCAAATACTACAAAGTTCGTCGCATGAAGACGCAATGTTAACACAATTTTTGACAGAATCCACGAGAGTATGTTGTAAGGAAAGTTCTAGGAGCGAGGTCGGTGTTGACGTCATTGACATCAGCTGTCACTTTTGTGAATTTTGTTATTACTTTTAAAAAGCCACTACTCTAACTAGTCACTAACTAGTCACTTGACTCTAGGCCTTGCCTAAATCTTTTATTTCTGTATATTTCCTATAACAAATGAACTGAATTATCAAGAGATGGATTATGTGGATTATGTGATTATCATCGGTAGTATTAAAATATTCCAAAATAAAATTTTAAAATAGCATGTGGGTTTAATTATGGATGCGTTTTTGGGACCAACAATATATATGTGCGAAATTTTAACCCCATATTATCGATTTGGCAGATAGTGTAAGAATAATGTATTTTGACGAGTCAGCAGGATGTTTAAGATACATGTATTTTGTTTTTAGTGGTTTTGGTGATTTAGATGTATTTGTGTGCAATGGGTTTATTTTAACGGTGTATTACTGTCATCTACATGTATTTCTGTGTATTAATGTCATCTACGTGTATTTCTGTGTATTACTGTCATCTACGTGTATTTCTGTGTATTACTGTCATCTACGTGTATTTCTGTGTATTACTGTCATCTACGCGTATTTCTGTGTATTACTGTCATCTACGTGTATTTCTGTGTATTACTGTCATCTACGTGTATTTCTGTGTATTAATGTCATCTACGTGTATTTCTGTGTATTACTGTCATCTACGTGTATTTCTGTGTATTACTGTCATCTACGTGTATTTCTATGTATTACTGCCATCTGCGTGTATTTCTGTGTATTACTGTCATCTACGCGTATTTCTGTGTATTACTGTCATCTACGTGTATTTCTGTGTATTACTGTCATCTACGTGTATTTCTGTGTATTACTGTCATCTACGTGTATTTCTGTGTATTACTGCCATCTGCCTCTATTTCTGTGTATTACTGTCATCTACGTGTATTTCTGTGAAAGTACCGACGCATGTTAGCTACATCATAAGAGGGGAGGTAATAAATCAAGTTTTAGTTACTCGAAATAAACAAAGGTTTGACAAGAAGACAAGGGCACGTAATTGTGCCATACACGAAAGGGACGTAATTATACAACCTGACAAGGGGGCATAATTCACGAAAGACAGTGATTGGTAAAGCATGCATTTTAAAGAAGGGGCGTTGTCATGGCGACCAGATCTTTCGACAGCTTCCCCGTCCAGATGTCATTTACTGTAAGAAATATGGTAGACACATTCTATCAGTTTGTAGAGGGGGTCATGTGACCCCCAGGTGTACTATCACCCCCTCCCCACTACCATTCATCATCTCTCACCTGTGAAAAACATGCGAAACAGTGGACACCCGATCTAGCGGAGATCGCATGACATCGCATGGACGCATTCTTCTAGAGTTGCTGGCCTTAGTACAACCCCGAGTTACTGTCCTTATCTAGCCAATTCAGTTGAATATCAAATAAATGGCAAATGTAATGAGATTCTGTTTTCATGGGTCAGGTAGATTCAGGTGTTTTTATTGCTCCAACGATTTTAACAGGGACGAATTATTTAACCACCATAAACAGACAGTCGGAATTAGTTGGAAATTGTTAAATTGTAACATACGACATATATTATGTAGGCGGGTATGTGCTTACATTTCGTTTTTGCTAGTATGTTAGTGAGTGCGTTATTTGTGTGCGTATATATATATATATATATATATATATATATATATATATATATATATATATATATGTGTGTGTGTGTGTGTGTGTGTCTGATTTATGTATGTGTATGTTAATGAGTGCGTTATTTGTGTGGGTATATATTTGTGTGTGTATTTGTGTGATTTGTGTGTATGTTGGTGAGTGCATGTGAGCGTATGCTTGTATTTGCATGCGTGTGTATATCCGTGTGATTTGAGTGCGTCTGTTGTGTATTTGCGCGCGTAAATATATCGTGTGTGTGTTCTTGTGTAAGTTCATGTGAGATTACCCGAAGAAAAGTCACGTGATACCAATTGTAGTCTACATTGGCCTGATTTCAACAGTTATCTTCTCGCGATTTGTGCGGAACACGATAGGACGACTTCCGCTAGTCGCATCATCCGCGCGAGTAGCGTCCCTTTCTTCCCTGTTTTATTTAGTGCTAGCCAGCCATTGCTCTGGTAATGGGACCCCGCTCTGGCCACCTCCCGGCTCATTATGCGACAGTCTCACACAGTCTCACAGTCCCATGCTGGTCGGGATATCTACATCACCGGCAGCTAGCCGGGGTGTCGGGATACGGGGCACAGGAACTCAGGCTTCGGTTGGGGGGGGGGTCATGTGACTCTAGAACAGGGTCTTAAAGTGTGTGTGTGGGGGGGGGGGGGGGGGGGGTAAGTCACGTGACTCAAGAACAGGATCTCAAACAGGGGGGGGGGGGCAGATCACATGAATGTAAATTAAGAATCGATAAATATTATATAAGTTGCTTTAATTTTGTTTCTTTTTTTTTTTAGTTTTTCTCTTTCTTGTTCATTTTAGGGATGGCCTTGCGCGCATTAAAGTGTAGAAAATAAAAAGTTTCTGTGTTACGTTGAGTGTGAGTACTGTGGTATTGTTTCTTATTGAATCAGATTTTGCTCTGTTGTGTGTTAACGGGTTGAGACTCTCTGTAGTTTTCTTGTCTTTTTGTCGTTGTCCATAAGTTTTCTTGTCTTTTTGTCGTTGTCCATAAGTTTTCTTGTCTTTTTGTTGTTGTCCAAAAGTTTTCTTGTCTTTTTGTCGTTGTCCATAAGTTTTCTTGTCTTTTTGTCGTTGTCCATAAGTTTTCTTGTCTTTTTGTCGTTGTCCAAAAGTTTTCTTGTCTTTTTGTCGTTGTCCAGAAGTTTTCTTGTCTTTTTGTCGTTGTTCAGAAGTTTTCTTGTCTTTTTGTCGTTGTCTAGAAGTTTTCTTGTCTTTATTGTCGTTGTCCAGAAGTTTTCTTGTCTTTTTGTCGTTGTCCAGAAGTTTTCTTGTCTTTTTGTCGTTGTTCAGAAGTTTTCTTGTCTTTTTGTCGTTGTCTAGAAGTTTTCTTGTAATGTGTTGTGTTTTTTGTAATCGTTGTGTAATCTTGAATTAGCTCTAGCCGTGATGTATTGTGTTTTTGTTGATTTTTTAAAAAATTGTTAAGCTTGTTTTAAGAGAAAACAGTGGTTAGAAGTGGCTCGTCTATACATACATACCAACTGTGACCATTCACGCGTATAAAATTCTGAAAGTTTTATAACTGCTATTGTCTGGCATGATAAAAGCGCAAGGTAAAATCGGAGCTTAGCTTTTGGTTCATAACTTTGGTTTCCATTTCAAAGTGGTCTTAGCAGAAGTAGGGAGGTCCAACGCGCCTCGGGTTTCATTGTTCCCTCACAAAGATATTGAGTAACCGGCTAAAGCCATAGACTCGCGTACCGTTACAATCCACCGATTACAGTCAACACAAAGGGGCTTAATTCTTTGTTGTACGCAACTCGTTTGCTTTAGTAAGTACTGTCATGTGGAGTGATCTGCCCCTGTGTGGCGAGTAGTTGAACCAAAGCTTAGCGTGAAAAGACCAAGTTTCACTGGGTAAACAAGGAAGGTGGGGGCGCTAACGGGGGGGGGGGGGGGAGGGGTGGGGGTAAGATGTGGGGGAGGGGCTAAGATGGAGGGCTGATGGGGGGGGCTAAGATGTGGGGGCGCTAAGATGTGTGGGAGCTAAGATGTGGAGGAGATAAGATGTGGGGGGGGGGAGATAAGATGTGTGGGAGCTAAGATGTTGAGGAGATAAGATGTGGAGGAGATAAGATGTGGGGGGGGGGAGATAAGATGTGTGGGAGCTAAGATGTTGAGGAGATAAGATGTGGGGGAGCTAAGATGTGGGGGAGCTAAGATGTGGAGGAGATAAGATGTGGGGGGGGGGGAGATAAGATGTGTGGGAGCTAAGATGTTGAGGAGATAAGATGTGTGGTAGCTAAGATGTTGAGGAGATAAGATGTGGGGGAGCTAAGATGTGGAGGAGATAAGATGTTGAGGAGATAAGATGTGTGGTAGCTAAGATGTTGAGGAGATAAGATGTGGGGGAGCTAAGATGTGGAGGAGATAAGATGTGGGGGAGCTAAGATGTGGAGGAGATAAGATGTTGAGGAGATAAGATGTGTGGTAGCTAAGATGTTGAGGAGATAAGATGTGGGGGAGCTAAGATGTTGAGGAGATAAGATGTGGGGGAGCTAAGATGTGGAGGAGATAAGATGTTGAGGAGATAAGATGTGTGGTAGCTAAGATGTTGAGGAGATAAGATGTGGGGGAGCTAAGATGTGGAGGAGATAAGATGTGGGGGAGCTAAGATGTGGAGGAGATAAGATGTGGGGGGGGGAGATAAGATGTGTGGGAGCTAAGATGTGGGGGCGCTAAGATGTGGAGGAGATAAGATGTGGGGGGGGGAGATAAGATGTAAGGGAGCTAAGATGTGGGGGAG